AATGCAAGGATTAAATCATTATGCTGGGATTGGGGTGAGGATTAAATAAAATGGTACCAGGCGTATAATTGTTACCAGTTAGTATGAAAGTGCACACGCAGGCAGGACTTTCAGAAGATTTTATAGGGGTGCATACAGTCCCCCAAACCTAATCCTGAACCCCTGATCTACAAACTCTCTAAATCATCCCCTCCCACAGTTTAATAACCCGGGCCTGTCTAATGAGGTAGGAGGTGTGAGAGTTAAGGAGGCTCCAGGTGAGGGAGGAGGCGGGAGGTGGGGGCTGCAGGGCTGGGGCTGCCCGGCACACAGGGGAGCCAGTGTGTCTGAGGTTCCTGGGCTGCAGGAACAGGCCCCCGGGGGCAGGTGGGACGTCGATTCCAGCCGGCCTGGCCATGTGTGGGTGGGGCGGTCTAGCCCAGCCTGGCGTTCCGGTCCGCCTGGTGTGGGGGCTGGGCCGGAGGAGGCCCCTGGAGCGCCACTGAGCCCCACTTCAGCTCCTGCCCCTCCCAGGCCAGGACGGGTGAGGGCCTACGTCCCCTCCTGGGACAGAAAACTTGTGCCTGTGTGTTCAGCTCGCGTGTTTGCCCCCAGCGGCAGGTGCTGCCTCCACCCACCCGAGTTTGCCCTTAGGGTCCTCGGAGGTCACGGGAACCTTCCCAGGCAAAGCAAACAGGCGTGTGAACCGGCAGGACACGCCAAGCTCAGAGAAGGCACAGGGTGTGAAAGGAACACCTCTCTCTGCCAAGGATGCCTCCCCATGACTCCAGCTCCAGCCCCAACCCCTCACAACTGCCGCAGAAGGGGAAACTGAGGCCCATTATAGAAAGGACCTTGTTTAGGCACTGCTGGGGGAACCGGGACAGGCGCCTAGGCATGAGACACAAAACTACAGTGTGCTCCAACACATACACACTGGCCCCTTTGTGCGCCCACACCCACTCCTGCACAGGCACATCCAGACAGGAGGGCGCACGTCCCAGCTCCCCTCCCTCAGGCACACCCACCCCTTGCCGCTCACACGCTTTGGACCAGGAGACGCACACCTAAACGCACGTGCGCAACTTGTGTCAGTGGTCCTTGGAATTTCAACAACAGATCGGCTCAGGGCTACCATCCAGGGTTGGGGGTGCTGAGGACATGCATGCTGTAGTTTTTCTTTTCTCTTCTCTCTCTCTTTTTCTTTCTTTCATTCTCTCTCTCTCTTTTTATTTTTTTTGGTGGTACTGGGGTTTGAACTCAGTACCTCACACTTGCTAGGTAGGTGCTCTACAATTTGAGCCATTCCACCAGTCCTTTTGTTTGGTATTTTCGAGATAGGGTCTTACAAAATATTTGCCTTAGCTGGCTTCAAACCTCCATCTTCCTGATCTCTGCCTTCAGAGTAGCTGGGATTACAGGTGTGAGCACCAGGTGCCTGCCTGGATGCTGTAGTTTTTCTTCATTATATATATATATATATATATATATATATATATATATATATATGTGTGTGTGTGTGTGTGTGTGTAGACTGGATGTCCCTGTATAGTTGTAAATGCACAAACTCATGCTTACATTCCCTTAGGCAGAATTCACCTACCAACCTCACTCACATATAGTCCACATACTCAATACTTACATCCAACGCCATTCAGAGCACAAGTACTCACACATGGAGATCTGTACACTGATGTACACCAAACCACAGCCATATACTCACATCTAGTCATCCAGACATTCACAGATGCACTCGTGTAGAAATTCATTCAGACACTCCGTTTACATTCAGGAAACAGATGTACACATGTGCACCTGGTCACCTTGTGAGTGTAAATGCTCACATAGAGATCATGCAAATATCCACAAATTCACGCAGATGTAAACTCCCAGTTTCAGACACACAGATGTATCTGAAATTGATATATAAAAAGATAACACACAAATGCATACAAGTGTGTATGTAGGTGTCTTGTAGGCCTGTGTATACACATCTAGACATACAGGCCTGGAAAAACCTAGTATTTGCAAAAGCACAAGCATTTGTGTATTCCCAATTATACATAGTTAAGACCCATATAGCAGATGTTTTGACACAAAAACACAATGGAACACAAACAAATACAAAACAAAGCAAAAAAGAAGATGAAGAGGAGAAGGAGGAGGAGGGGGAGGAGGGGGAGAAGAAGAGGAAGAGGAAGAGGAAGAAGAAGAAGAAGAAGAAGAAGAAAGAAGAAGAAGAAGAAGAAGAAGAAGAAGAAGAAGAAGAAGAAGAAGGAAGAAGAGGAAGAGGAAGAGGAAGAGGAAGAGGAAGAGGAAGAAGAAGAAGAAGAAGAAGAAGAAGAAGAAGAAGAAGAAGAAGAAGAAGAAGAAGAAGAAGAAGAAGAAGGAAAGAAGAGGAAGAGGAGGAGGAGGAGGAGGGGAAAACAAAATAGAAAGAAGAAAAAAATACTATCCACAGGTAGGGGCTTGGGGACTTACAAATGTACCCAGTAACACTCCACAATTCAATTATGCTCAGGCACACAAATATCTATCCACACTCTGCAGTCTCTCATACACCTTCTACTGACACATGGACAGATCCATCCCACTCACAGAGGCATCTGTGTGGTCAGTACACAGGTATGCAGCTCCTAAGTAAATACACACCTGTGTACACTCACGGATGCATCAGAAATAGGAATTGTGTATACTGTACTCATTTCTGTGGCTTACAAGACCTTTCACTCTCAGGTTCACACCATGTACTCAAACCCATGACACACTCCTATGTAAACGCACATGAAGTTGTCCCTCGGTACCTGAGGGGGCATTAGTTCCAAGACCTAAGGTGACACCAAAATCTATGGGTATTCAAGTCCCTTACAGAAAACGGTGAAGTATTAAGAAAAGAAGGCAGGCTCAAAAGTCCAAAGGTTGAGCTGGCGGAGTGGCTCAGTGGTAGAGCACCTGCCTAGCAAGCATGAGGGCCTGGGTTCAAACCCCAGCAACCAAATGTTATCCGTGTTATCATTCATATGTGGAATCTAGATCTAAAATGATAATACTAATGAAAATGAGACATGAATGTAACAGGAAGGAGGGAATCAGTGGGAGGGGGAGGGGATAAGAGAGGGTATCAGGAGATGAAGAGGTTGAAGAGCAGCACAAGCATATGTATGAAGACAGTGTAATGAACCCCACAAAATCCTGTGAGGGGAGGAGTGAGGGAGACTAAGAGAGTATAATGGAGGGGGTGACCTTGTTCTAAGTACACTGTATGCATCTATGGAAATTTCACAATGTAACTCCCTTGTACTATTAACGATAAAATTTAAAATAAATAAATAAAAATGGTGAGGCCAGGTGCCAGTGGCTCACACCTGTAAACCTAGCTACTCAGGAGGCAAAGATGAGGAGGATATTGGTTTGAAGCCAGCCCCTGGCAATAGTTCAGGAGACCCTATCTCAAAAAACTCTTCATAAGGGCTGGGATGTAGCTCGGTGGTACAGCGCTTGCCTAGCATGCGTGAGGCCCTGGGTTTGATCCCAGCACCAAAAAAGAAAAGACAAAAAAAAAAAAAAGTCATAAAAAAATGATTGGCCAAGAAATGACTGGCTGAGTGGCTCAAGTGGTAGAGCATCTGTCTAGCAAGTGTGAAGCCCTAAGTTCAAATCCCAACACTGCTAAAAATAAATAAATAAATAAAATAAGACGGTAAGGTATTTGCACCCATAACTTCCCTCCTGTATACTTCATTTATGTAAGCTTTCTTTTTTTGGCGGGGTGGGGGGATGGGGGAGATACTGGGGTTTGCACCCAGGGCTCTACTTGAGCCTCGCCCCCAGCCCTCTCTTGTGTTGAAGTCATCTCTAGATGGCTTATAATAACTACTACAATGTAAATGTTGTATGCAGAGTTGTTATAGTGTGCCAAGGAAAACATCTGTCCTTGTTTAGTTCAAATGCAAGTTTTTAAAAAGTATTTACAATCTGTGGATGGTTGAACTCAAAGATACAAAGGACAAGCTATGTGCATAAAAATACTTTCAGAAATTGTTCATTACGTGCTCACACGTGTGTGCACAACCACATTCACAGACTCATATACAAGCCCAGTTATACACAAATACACCCTCACCTGCACACAGATCCCTCCCCCAACAAATACTTCAGATACCCAGATACACATGAAGACATTTGCAAAAATACCTAGTAATAACCTGTACAACCACACTCAGACCCAACCACACTCCTGCACGAATACATCCATTCAGTATCTCTCCCATACTCATCATTGATAGAAACATCGATCCTACCCGTATAATATACACACGCGTTTAGATGCACGCAAATGTGCGCTCCTATCCACTCACAAAATAGACACACACTTTTATTCTCAGGATGTAGACAACTACGCAACACTGATCTTGGTACTCACAACATGCGTTAAAACATACCCACCCTCTCACATATACATGCATGTCACATTCGTGGCCTGATGCCAACGGGCAGAGACACTTTAGTATATTGGTTCACCACCCAAATTACATTCTACGGCACACACACAAATAGAACAGACATTTTTGTGCCCTCACAAACACAGTCAGAAACAGGTGCATCCACGCACGTGCCGCCTAATGGCCAGCCAGTACAAATCCACACAGGTGCTCAGAGACCTAAGGGTGGACACTGCGGCCTGCACACATCCACAACCGAGGGTCCCAGATCCTCGCTAGTGACCCTGGCGTGCGCGTGCGCTCTGTTTCTCTTTCTCTATCTCCTCTGCAGCCCTCCCCTCCCCCGCCATCACCGCAGTCCCGCCCTCCCTGCTCTGGGCACCCAGCAGTAGGGGACCCACGGAGGTTGGGGACACAGGGGTGGGCCAGGTCCGATCCGGGTGTGTGTGGGGTGGGGGAGGGAGGGGCGGGTCCGGCCCAAGGGGGGCGGGACGCACCTGGGCTCCGCCCCGGGGCGGGGCCGACGCAGCGTCGCCAGCGCGAGCGGCCGCACCTGGTTCAGCAGCAGCTGCGGCGGCGGTGGCGGCGGCGGCGGCGGGGACACGAGCACAACGCGGCGCAGCCCAGCCCAGCCCGAGCGCGGACCCGGCGCCCGCAGCCCCGGCGCCGCCATGGTGGAGGCGGCGCCCGCGGGGCCCGGGCCGCTGCGGAGGACCTTCCTGGTGCCGGAGATCAAGTCGCTGGACCAGTACGATTTCTCGCGGGCCAAGGCGGCGGCGAGCCTGGCGTGGGTGCTGCGGGCAGCGTTCGGGGGCGCAGGTACCGGGACTGGGGGGGGGCGGCGGGCCGGGCGCGGCAGGTGCGGGGGGCGGGGCGCCGGGCTGGAGAGGCCGGGGCCGTGGGAACAATAGCGCCGGCCGCAGGGGTGTCCCCTGGTCCGGGCCCCGCTGCGCCGGGCCTCCGAGCTTCCTGCTCGGCTTGGGCCATGGACTTTGCCCGCCCGGCTGCCCGGAGCGCAGTGGGGGTAGGGCCGGCGGCCGGGCTCCGCACTGGGACCCGTGCATCTGGGCCCCCAGGTGAGCGGGGTGGGGTCTGCGAGCCGGGTGGGTTCTCCCGGTGCGGGCCTCAGCTTCTCGTCTCTCACACCCCGGGACCCCCTCTGCTCGCCCTTTACACAGTCACGTCCATGCGCCTGCGAGGACCCCCACCCCACTATCCCCGGCCTCACCTTTCGCGCGGGGCCTTAAGCGCTCAGCACAGCACGCCCCCCGGCTGGCACCCACACCCCGCGTCGGCCCTGCCTGCTCTGCGGGCGGCGGCGGGGGACCTCTGCGAATCCCCCTTTCGCCTCTATGGCCTCTGCCAGTGACTGGCAGCTGTGACTTATTGCCCCATTTTTCCGAGGCGGCAGGCGAGCCCTGTGGAAGGGAAATAAATGGCTTGTCTAGGATCACCCCAGAGTGGGGGCCCCAGCTGCAGGGCCTTCTTCCATAAGGACTGGTCCTCCACTCCCTTCTCCAGGCCCATATGTCTGAAGAACTCGCGCCATCCCCACCGAGGTGGGGAGGATGCGGATGATGGGGCCTCTGGCAGGTTCATTCTTGGCTTTCCCCACCCCAGTGCAAAGCTGGAAGGCGAGACTTGGCCTTGGGGAAAACACGGGTTAATTAAGGTCCCGGCCTTCCGGGGTGCCTTGCTCTCCCACTGGACCTGGCTGCTGATCTTGGCACCAGCTGAGCACAGCCCATCCCCCCTTTCAGTGGCCTTCCCAGACCAACCTGTTCTGGGTGTGGGTCTCAGTGACAGCTGCCCGTCGACCGCTTCCGCCTGAGCCTGTCTCTTCCACTTTCTCCCAGTCTCTTTCTGAATCCTTCTGTGCATGGCTTACTCAGAGAACAGCCCACCCAACAGGGATTTGTTTGAGGACGAGAAGGATTGGGGGTTGAGACTCAGGACTGCCTCAGCTCCATACATCCAAGGTTATGAGGCCATAAAGAGCCTAACTTTGCAAGTGAAAATCAAGTGTGAATCCCAGCTCCTTAAATATGGAAGAATTATTCCAAGTTGTCCAAGCTTCTGTTTCCCTTTCTATAAAAGAAGGCTTTTGGTTGCCTATTTATCCATGTCTGGAAATATTTGCAGGGTGCTCACACATGTCAGGGTGCCATGCAGATTGACAGCCCAGTACCTGTGGGCAAGGTTGCCAGGAGGTGTCAAAGAGGCACTGGCTATAGAATTCATCCCGTTGTGTCTGGCTCATGTGACATGCTAAATGAGTGCTCACTCTTGCTTCTGAAGTGATGAGAGGTGATGTTTTTAATACTGTTAATATCACTCATTGTTCCTGGGTAGGCGGACAGAGCAGAAATTACTACCTCATTTCATAGAACGGAAAGCAAAGCCCCCCCGGGGGGGGTTAATAAAATCCTGACTTACCCAGTTCTGTTTTTATTGAGCTGGCTATCTGTACTGAGTAACACTGTCCAGTGGCTGCTCCTACCCTAAGGGTCAAGTTCAATCTGTTTCTCACCTGCCTCCCCTAAACAGAGGGGGTCTGAAGGAAATGGGGGACAGAGCTCTGCCCCCATGAACTCCAGGACTCTACCAGGGCTTACCAGGTGCCTCTCAGGTACCAGGCCAGTGCTAAGCACAAGGATGTGGAGGACAGGGGATGGATGGGAGTGGGGGGGGCATGAAACAAGACCATCCAAACTTTGGAGTGAAAAGGTCTGTGGTGTGGAGCAAACAGCAGGTCTGGAGGAGGAAATCCCTGAAATCTCTCAGGGTGGGAAAAGGGAAGGCTCCTAAAAGGAAGAAGGGTTTGAGTCTTGAAGGATTGGTAGGAGTTTGCCAGGGGGAGGAGTCTGCAAAGGAATGGGATGGGGATCAACAGGGAGTTCTCATATAAGAACATGCAGGTCTCAGGAGGCTGGAGATGAGGGAGCTGTGAGACTCTAGGGGAAGGGCCTCTCAGGCTGTGGGCAGGGAGGGCAGAAGGGAGCCACAGAAGGTGTTAGGGGACTGACAAGGTGAAACATGCAGTTGTCCAGTAGGGATTGTGACAGGGAAGGGGCAGTAGCCCCAAGGCACAGGGGTGTGGAATGCAGGCAGGTGAGCTCAGAGCACAAACTCAGAGATAAGATAAGAATACTTTACAAGTTTGGGAAATACCACATGCTGGCCATTCTTTTTTTTTTTTTTGGCAGAACTCAGGGTGCTAGCTAGGCAGCTGCTCTATCACTTGAGCCACAACTCCCCCCCACCGTTTTTCACATTCCTTATTTTTGGGATAGGATCTTGCTTTTTGCTTTGGTCCGTGATCCTCCTATTTATGCTTCCTGCATAGCTGAGATGACAGGTGCACCATCGTACCCAGCTATTGGTGGAGATGGGGTCTTGCAAATTTTTTGCCTGGGCTGCCCTTGACCACGATCCTCCTGATCTCTTCCTCATTGAGTAGCTAGGATTTCAGGAGTGAGCCAATGCTCCCAGCTCAACAGGCTGTTCTTTATGCCTTCAGAACTTCAGTGAGATATGCGAGGGAAACTGGATTTGTGTGAGCTCTGCCATTTACTGGCTGTGTTATCTTGGCAAGTTAACTCAGATCTCTGGGTCTTGGTTTTCTTATCTGTACAGTGGCATAAGAATACATATTTTAGGATTAAACAAATGAATGCACAGAAACTTATGGACTATACAAATGCTAGCTATGCTATAAAAGTGTCTGTAGAGTGGATAGCCACTAACCCAACATGGCTGTTGAGCACTTGAAATGTGGCCAGTTTGAATTCAGATGTACAGCTGGGCATTGTGGTCCATGCTTGAAATCCTAGGAAGACCATGAGTTCAAGGCTATGCTGGGCTGACTATAGAGACCCTGCCTCAAAAAACAAAAAACAAAAAACAAAAAAAAAAAGAAGAAGAATGAATCAAGATGTACAGTAAATGTAAAATCAGACTCCAGAGCCAGGCATGGTAGTGCATGCCTGTAATCCTAATACTCAAGAAACTGGGTTTCAAGTTTGAGGATTGCAAGTTTGAGGCCAGCCTGGGCTACATAATGAGATGTTATCTCAAAACAAATAAATGAAAAATAGACACCATACCAAAAAGACAAAAAGAGTGAAATATCTCATTAAAATCTGTACATTTTTTACACATTGAAATGATAACGTTTTTGGATACATCTTGGGCTGAATAAACTGTATTACTAAATTAATGGTCCTTGGGTCTGCTTTTTTAATGTGACTACTAGAAAACTTTTTTTTTTTTTTTTTTTTTTTTTGGTGGTACTGAGGTTTGAACCTCACACTGACAGCCCTTTTTGGTGATTTTTTTTTTTTTTTCCTTTTGGTGGAACTGGGGTTTGAACTCATGGCCTACACCTCAAGCTGCTCCGCCAGTCCTTTTTTTATGATGAAGTTTTTTGAGCTTGGGTCTTGTGAACTATTTGCCCAGGCTGGCTTTGAACTGTGATCCTCCAGATTTCTGCCTTTTGAGTAGCTAGGATTACAGGCGTGAGCCACTGGCACCCTGCTGCTACTAGAATATGTGGCTTGTATTTCAGTCAGATGGTATTGCCCTGCAATAAATGCTCAACAAACAGTCTGGGGCTGAGGTTCTTAGGTGGTGACAGCGTTGTCTCTTGGGAGATATGTGGCAGTGTCTGGAGACATTTTTGGTTGTCTACTTAGGGTAGGTACTGGGATCTCATAAGTGGAGACCAGGGGGTTGTGCTGAAAACCCTTTGGTACACAAGATGGCATCTTCTCAAAGCTAATTGTGCAAAGGTGGAGGAGCACTGGTAATAGGGTGAGTGCTTGATAAAACCAGCCATTTGTATTCTAGCTTTTTTTTTTGCCCCCTTTTGATCTTGAAGTCCTGAAGGAAAGAAAGTTATTACATTTTGCTGATGGGAGCAGAAAGTGCCTGAGCCTTCAGTGGGCTGGAAAGATGAGGAAGGTTTGGATTTGGGAGATGTCAGGAGGTTGGAACTAGAGGACTAATTGGATGTGGGATGGAGGGTAAAAAAGGGATGGTGGGTCAGGTACGGTGGTTTACACCTGTAATCCCAGCTACTCAGGAGGCAGTGCAGTAATAGGGCGAGGAGGATCTCAGTTTGAGGCCAGCCCTGGCAAAAAAGGTGAGGTGCTATCTCAAAAACAAGCTGGGTGTGGTGGTGTACATCTGTAATCCCAGCTACTTGGGAGGTAGAGGTAGGAGGAACAGGGTCTGAGGCCAGCATGGGTAAAGTTAGTGTAAGATTCCACCCAAAATGAAACTAAAATCAAAAGGATTGGCGGCATGGCCCAAGTGGAAGAGCACTTGCATAGCCAGTGCAAGGCCCTGAGTTCAAACTCCAGTACCAGAGAGAGAGAGAGAGAGAGAATGATGATTTCTCACTGTGATGGATAGGGAGAAGCAGGAGGTTTGGAAAAAGATAATCTTGGGTTGTGGGAGATGGCTAAGGGGCAGTGGGGCACCCTGCCTGGGCTGCAGCAGGTGGCAGTCCTCAGATGGCCATGGAGGCCATCATGAGGTGGGGTGGGGCAGGGCATGTCTTTTTACAAGGAGATGCCAGAGGGAAGGTTTCCGGAAGGAGGTGCTGGGCAGAGAGCCCGGGCAGTTATGGGCCCTGGATGTGCCTTGGCTGGCTGCTGCTGGCCTTGGGGAGTCTTGAGAACATGGGGATAGAAGCCAGGTCAGTGAGGTTGAGGCTGGGGGCAGGGAGCAGAAGGAAGTGAGCCTGGAAATCCCTTGTCTTTCAAGGAGCTGAGCTTAGCATGGCAGGGAGGAGGCACTGCTCTCCATAGGGGTGGAGCTGTTAAGTGGGAAGGTCAAGTGTGGTTTTAGGGGGTGGGCAAGGAGCAATGGCAGGAAAGATTGCCGTCAAGGATGCCTGAGTTCTCTGTCAAGGAGTTTCTTAGGAGCCTAATTTTGAAGAGGGAACCCCGAGGAAGATTTGGTCTGAAGCAACATGTATGCTTTGGAGCCCGGGAGCTCTTTCCCCACTTCTTTCAGACACATGTAGAACCCCACTACACAAAACAGCAGGGCTGATTGGAACTACAGCCAGGCAGGTTCCCTCCCCTCTCCCCCGCCCACTGACCTCCCTGACCTCCTCAAATCTTTTAGGTTTTTTCCTCTCTACCATTGAGTACTACTCAGACCTCCACCTTCCAAGTAGGGCTCTCCTGGCTGCCTCACTGTTCCCCTGAAGTCCCAACCCCTCATATCCTCTGCCTTGAGGTGCCCCCAAGGTCTCTCACACTCAGCTGCTGCCCCTCATAGAGCCCTGGGCCCTGCCTCTCCCTCGCCCTTTTTTCCATTTTAGTTACTAGGTTCAGACCACTCAATTCTCCCAGCATCTGGCGTCTCCTGTGTCCCCCATCCTGTGTCCTGCCAGTCAGCCCCACACGCCTCACAGTTCACCCCACTCCAGCCCCCGAGCTGAGAGAGGGTGTAAAGTTTAAGGCCTGGGTTTGAGTCGCAGTCCTGAAGAGCTGTGTGGTCTTTTCCGTAACCATGCGCTCTCCGTGAAGTGGAGTTACCAACGGTGTCCTCGCTGCTTCCTAGGGCGGATGAAGGCATCCACCACCTTCGTGTCTTTCCTTGGAGTCTGTAACATTCTGCTTAGTCAGTCTGAGGTGCTTCCTCTCTGGGTATAAGAGCCCACCACCATCGCCCACCTCCTGCTCTTTGCACCTGCAGGCGTCTGTCTGGGACACCGTAACCCTCCTGGCAAACCAAACACCTCAGCCCATTTTTCCTAGTCTCCCTTAACAGTGCCAACCTCCTCGTCTAAGTTCCCTTCCTTGAGGCCATGTTGTTATGCGTGTGTGTGTGTGTGACCCACCGTGTGTCCCGTCCCCCCTCCCCACAGAGCACGTGCCCTCGGAGCTGTGGGAACCTTTCTATACAGACCAGTACGCGCAGGAGCACGTGAAGCCCCCGGTGACGCGGCTGCTGCTCTCCGCTGAGCTCTACTGCCGGGCCTGGCGCCAGGCATTGCCTCAGCTGGAGGCACCTCCCAGCCCCTCTGCTTTGCTGGCCCTGCTGGCGCGGAGAGCCTCAGTGCCCTCCCTTCCTGAGCGCCCAGTGCGCGAGGCTGACCTGAGACACCAGCCCATTCTCATGGTAGGCCCCGTCCTTGCCCACTAGGCATTTCCCACCAGGCTTAGCTTCTTCCCTGGGCTACTCTGGTCCTAAGGGCTGTCTTCCGCTAATGTTCCTCCCATGAGCCAGGACCATCCCTCAAATTCCATCAATGAGGCTCAGCCCCTCCCTTCAAGCCCCACCCACCAGATATAGCCCCTCCCACAAGCCTAGCGCCTTCTGGCTCCTTCAAGCTCTTCCTGCTAGGCTTGGCATCTTCCCTCAAGTTCCTTCCGTCAAGCCCAGCGCCTCCCCTCAAGCTCCTCCTACCTAGCCTGGCTCCACCCCAAGAAAGACACATCTCTGGCTCTGGAGGATTTCTCTGCTTGGCCCACTCTTCCAATAACTAGTGTCTGACTTCAAAGGCAAAGCCATCATGTGTGACTTTTCCAAGATCCTAGCCTTGTTTCTGCCTTCAAGGCCCGATCTACTAATCCCTGGTCCTAACCCTCAAGCCCCGCCCACTTCAAGCCCCTCCACCTCCAGGTTCTCCCTCTTCATTGGCCCTCGGTGGCAGAGCGGGAGTCCCCACCCTGCTGTCTGGTCTCACCCTCTCACCCTCCAGCCTTTGCCCCTATAGGGAGCCCACCTAGCCGTCATTGACGCCCTCATGGTTGCCTTCGCCTTCGAGTGGACAAAGACGCTGCCTGGCCCCTTGGCCCTGACCAGCCTGGAGCACAAGCTCCTTTTCTGGGTGGACTCGGTAAGTGGGGTTGGTCCGGGATGAGTGGGGATCAGGTTGTCCAGTAATCAGAGCACTGACTTCTCCCTGGTCACCAGACCGTCCGACGGCTGCAGGAGAAGACAGAGCAAGAAGCGGCTCAGCGTGCGTCCCCCGCAGCCCCTACAGATGGGACGGCCCCAGCGCAACCCTCGGTGAGGCTAGGACCATGGACCAGTGCAAGGATGATCTAATCATGTGATGGGGGGCTCGACGGGCAGGGCTGGGCTGTGCCTCATGGCTGTTCCTGAGGCGGGGTGGGGCTGGAGGTGACTCTCTCTTTCTCTCTTTCTTTCTCTCTCTTTTTTTCTCTCTATGCCACCTCCCCTGCACCGGCCTCTGCTCTTCCCCTCTCTGCCTCTCTGGCATTAGTGCCCCACACGCTGGTACTGGAAGCTGGTTCCTGTAAGTGGGGCTGTCTGTCTGCCCCGTCTGCCTGCCTTGCTTGCTGCTGTCTGTCTGTGTGTGTCCGATTCTGCCTGCCAATCTGCACCCTCTCCTGTCTCCCTGATCTGTGAGCAAAGAAGGTGGGACCCCAGTCCTGGGAATGGGAAGAACCCCTCTTGAGCCAAGAGAAAGGGGGAATGTGAGCCATTAAATTACAGGGTTGATGAGCTGCTCATTAACCAAGAGGGAAACTCCTGCCCCTCCCCCCCAAAAAAAGGGTAGGATCCTCAGCCCACATAGATCCTTACTCCAGTGGGCAGGGCACATGGAGATCTCCCTAGCCAAGAGGAAGACCCTCAAATCTAGAAGAAAGCAGAATCTTCCTGAGACCCTCAGTTTTCTAAGGGAGGGAAAAAAATCCTAGCTCTGGGTAGAGGCCCATTCTTGAAGCTAAAAGTATGACTTTCTTTCTTTCCCTGATTAGCTGTGTGATCTTGCACAAGTGTCAAAACCTCCGTGTGCTTGATAGAGTTCATTCCTGGAGGAGATAAACCAGGGGAAGGTGTGGGTGGGGTTGGGCTGGATGGGGTCCCTGTCTTTGCTCACTTCTTCTCCCCACCCTGGGTCTGGGTTGGGGGGGTTCCTCTCCTGCCTACCTGCTTCCTTCACATCCTCTCCCCAAGCTGGGATCTCTCATGGGAGGATGGTTCCCTGCATGGAAGGCTGCTCTGTGGGGTCCCTCAGGGCTGGGAGGAGCTGGGGTCCCCAAAGCCGGCCAGAGCACAGTCAGGGAGCTGGATGGCCAGGGCTCACGCCAGGGGTCAGGACTCCTCCTTCCCCCAGAGGTGGGGTTGGGTGCCCAGCAGGTCAGCAGCCTTCCCGCCCTGCTGACAGCTGCTCCTCTCCCCCCCAGCACGCAATTGCCTTCTGTTTGAAGGAGTCGGGGAGCAAACCCCCCATGGTAATGTATCCCCCACCCCGGGGTCCCAGGAGTCCTTGTCCCCAGCCCCTGCTGCTGGTCTGGCTGCTCGCAGACAACTCCTCTGCCTCTTGTTGCTGTCCCTCCCCTGCTCCAGGCTGCCCTCCCCCCACCCCCATTCTGGCTCTGGGACCCCCAGCTTCCCATCCCCCCTCATGGCGGAAACCCCAGGCCTCCCCACTCAACCTGCATGACTGCTGACCTAGAGGGCCAGCCTGACTGCTGACCTTACCCAGTCCCTGTCTGCAGATCCGATACCGCAAAGACCGGGCTGTGGCACGACGTGCTCCCTGCTTCCCAAACGTGACGACCCTCCAGGACCTGGCGAATGGGGCGGCGCTAGCTGCTACTATCCACTGCTATTGTCCCCAGTTGTTACGACTTGAGGGTGAGTGAATGGGCCAGCCCCCATCCTGGAAAGCCAGGCAGCCATCCTAAGTCGCAGCCTAGAGACCCAGATGACTCAGTGGTTATGAATGCAGCTTCTATTATCAGCAGACCTGGGATTGCCTCTTTCTCGTCCCCTAATTAGCTGTGTAATGTTGTACAAGTGTCTGAACTTCTCTGTGCTGCTTATAATTCATTCTTGCAACAGGACTGTGTGCCAGACCCTACATTTGGTGCCAGTGATCCATAGAGAACAAATAGTGTCACTTTCCTGATACTGTTTCCTTTGCCCTCCCTCCCCAGATAGTTCTACATTCTCTTTAGGGAATAAATTCATCTGGAAGTTTCTTTTGGATTAACTGCCACAAAGGGGAACGGTGGTCTGGAAAAGGCTTTTGCATTGAGTTCCGGGGAGAGATGGTCAGAAAGAGGTTTTTGAGTTGAGTTTCAGGGTAGAGGAGAAGGGATGAATGTTCCGGATAGATGCAAAAGCCTGAGACACGATTTATTGTGTGCACCAGGCACAAGGCCTGGGCAGTAGTCTTCCATGTATCTTGGTTGCTGGGCTTCTCTGGGGCCCCATCCTCCTTCCAGTAAGAGCTGGGAACCCACGCATCCTGATCCTACAGAGGTATGCCTCAAGGACCCCATGTCGGTGGCAGACAGCCTGTACAATCTCCAGCTGGTGCAGGATTTCTGTGCCTCCCGCCTTCCTCGTGGCTGCCCGCTGTCCCTCGAGGACTTACTTTATGTCCCACCACCCCTCAAGGTAAAGCCATCTCGGGGAGCTTTGGGGGCTCAGGCAGGTTTCCATGGCTGTGTGACCGGTCAGCTGACTATCCTTCCTGCCTCCAGGTCAACTTGGTGGTGCTGCTAGCTGAAATGTTCATGTGCTTTGAGGTGCTGAAGCCTGACTTTGTGCAGGCCAAGGACTTGCCTGACGGCCATGGTGAGCTCCAGGGTCCAGGGCTTGGGGTCTGGATGGGGGTGGGGAGGCCTTGCCCTGTCTGACCCTCTTCTCTGTGTGGCAGCCACTTCCCCGCAGGCCACGGAGGCCTCCCCATCTCTGAATAACAGTGGCAGCAGGTATGGGCTTTTCTTCCCACCTAGATGCTGGGATGGGGCTGGGATGGGGCGTGCGGGGGAGACAAAAGAGGAGCGAGTGTCCCCAGGTTGAAATAGATCTCTTGGCAGCTCTCCTGTGTTCAACTTCCGCCACCCACTTCTGTCACCTGGTGGCCCCCAGTCTCCACTCCGAGGATCCACAGGTGAGAACCCTACTCAGAGACCATCCCAGCTGACCCCTTTGTAGCCCTCCATTGGGTCCTTCTGGTGTCCCCCCACCCCAAGACGACCTCTGGGATGATTTTTCTGGTGACACCTTGGGATCCCTTAGTGCTACTGAATGGCCTCAGCTTCCCGTTTCTGGAAACTTGTGGTGTGAGCAGATACATATTGACCTATCAGTGACTCACCCTGTGACCTTTCAGAGGTTGCTTCCAGACACCATTCTACCCCACCCCAGGGTCCCCAGTGACCCCCCAGTGACCATTCTCTGCCCCTTCACCAGGCTCCCTGAAGTCCTCTCCGTCCATGTCCCACATGGAGGCCCTTGGCAAGGCCTGGAACCGTCAGCTCAGGTAAGTGCATCTCATGGGCCCCTGGTGAGCAGTGGGGCATGCTTGGGTAGGGTAGGTCAGAAGTCTGTCCCAGGGGCTGACCCCTCCCTCTGGCCGCCCAGCCGTCCCCTCTCCCAGGCTGTGTCGTTCAGCACTCCCTTTGGCCTGGACAGCGACGTGGATGTCGTCATGGGAGATCCTGTCCTACTCCGCTCTGTCAGCTCGGACAGTCTGGGCCCCCCACGTCCTGTGCCAGCCCGGACCCCTGCCCAGCAAACCCCAGAGCCTGGTGACCTGCCCACTATCGAGGAGGCCTTGCAGATCATCCACAGTGCCGAGCCTCGGCTGCTCCCGGATGGGGCTGCCGATGGCAGCTTCTACCTCCACTCCCCCGAGGCACCCTCCAAACCACAACTGTCCTCTTCCTTCCCGTCTGATGGGCCCACCAAAGCACCTGTCTATATATCCCACCCTGAGTCCCCCTCGAAACCATCTCCCTGCTCAGCAGGGGAGATACTGAAACCACCAGCCCCATCTGAGGGGTCCCCAAAGGTGGTAGCTTCATCCCCGGCAGCCACAAACTCCGAAGTGAAGATGACCAATTTTGCTGAACGTAAGAAGCAGCTGGTGAAGGCTGAGGCTGAGGCTGGAGTGGCACCCCCCACATCCACTCCAGCAGCCTCTGAGGCCCTGAGCTCAGAGATGAGTGAGCTGGGAGCCCGGCTGGAAGAGAAACGCCGGGCCATCGAGGCCCAAAAGCGACGCATTGAGGCCATCTTTGCCAAGCACCGCCAACGATTGGGCAAGAGTGCCTTCCTGCAGGTGCAGCCACGGGAGGCTGCAGGGGAGGCCGAGGCAGAGGCTGAGCCAGGCTCAGTCCCTGGTGGGGAACGGCCAGCTGGTGAAGGCCAGGGTGAACCATCTCCACGGCCTAAGTCAGTGACCTTCTCTCCAGAGCTGGGCCCAGTGCCCCCCGAAGGCCTAGGGGACTACAACCGAGCGGTCAGCAAGCTGAGCGCTGCCTTGAGCTCGCTGCAAAAGGACATGCAGAGGCTCACGGACCAGCAACAGCGGCTTCTGGCCCCACCAGAGGCTCCCGGACCTGCCCCACCACCTGCAGCATGGGTCATCCCTGCCCCGACAACTGGGCCCAAAGCTGCATCCCCTAGCCCTGCCCGGCGTGCCCCAGCCGCCCGGCGCAGCCCAGGGCCTGGCCCCAGCCCGACATCCCGCAGCCCAAAACATGCACGGCCAGCAGAGCTGCGGCTGACACCCCTAACGAGGGTGCTCACACCACCCCACGATGTAGACAGCCTCCCCCATCTGCGCAAGTTCTCGCCGAGCCAGGTGCCTGTACAGACACGATCCTCAATCCTCCTGGCGGAGGGGACACCTCCTGAGGAGCCTGTGGCCCGGCCTGGCCTTATTGAGATCCCCCTGGGCAGCCTGGGAGAGCCTTCCGCTGACAATGAGGGAGATGGGAGCCCCCCTGGGGCTGAAGATTCCCTAGAGGAAGAGGCGTCTTCTGAGGGAGAGCCCCGGGCTGGGCTTGGATTCTTCTATAAGGTGAGTCACCTGAGCAGGTGGGGACAAGAGACAGTGAGCAGATGGGTAGATGGCCAGGAAGCGGAATGTCCTGGGATTGGTGAGGGAATGAAAGGTAGGTGGATGGGTGGATGTATGGATAGGTCAGTTGGGTGGTTGGATGGGTGGCTGGGTGGATGGATAGGTTGGGTGGGTGGATGGATAGGTTGGTTGGTTGGGTGGAAAGGTGGCTAGGTGGATGATAGATTGGACAGATGGATGAATGGGTGGATGTGTGGATGTATTGATGAGTTGATTGGGTAAGTGGATAAGTGGCTAGATGGATGGATAGGTTGGGTGGATGGATTGATACACAGGTGGATAGGTTGAGTGCATGGATAGGTGCATAGGGTGAGTGACTGGATGGATCGATGGATGAGCAGATGGATGGATAGATGGGTGGGCGGATGGATGGATGAATGTGAGCAGATGGGTGGGTGTATAGATACATGGATGGATTGTCTGGTTGGGTGGATGGATGAATGGATAGGCTTTGTGGGTGGATGGATGGATGATGGATTGGTGGATAGATGGGAAGGTAGATGGTAGACAGATAAATAGGTGGTTGGTGGGCAGATGGATGGGTGGGTGGGTGATAGACAGATGGACAAGAGTGGGTGGCTGAACAAACAGGTCTAGGATCTTCTATGGCATTTCTTCCAGCATGGTCCTGCCAGTTCCCCTTCTTGACCCTGTCCCATGTTTGGTCATTCTCCTTCATAGTGATTTCAGCTTTGATCACCCTGGCATCTTTCTTGGACATGTGCAGTCATCTTCTGATTTCTACTGCCTCCCCCAGTCCCTGGTTATTTTCACTGAGCAGTTAGGGATTTTGGCTATTCCCCCTTGATCTTGGGATAAAAGCCCTCCTGTAGCTTTGGGCTGTGCTCACCTCTGACTTCATCCTTAACTCTCCTCCTCAGCTCTGCATTCCAGTCACATTGGCCTCACAGCTCTGGTTTGTTCTAGCCTCAGGGTCTTCATACTTGCTATTCCCTCTGGCTGGAAGACTCTCCTCATCTCTACCCAGTTAGAAACTTTGGTCATTCTCCATGGGTGCTTCTTCCAGGAAGCCTCACTTGGCACCCCCAGGGTAGGATAGACTGCAGTATAGTTGGCAGTGCCCCAAGCACATGTCTCCCAGTGTTCATCTTGTGTGCCATTTGTCCCCATTTGGTTAAGTGCTTTGTGTGAGCAGCACTCTGTTCTATCCCATACCTGTTGTGCCTCCCCACACCCCCAGTACCCAGCATAAGGGCACATAAAGTAGGCACCAATTATATACTCTTAGAACATTTACAAAGGTTAGCTGGCTGGCTGGGTCAGTGACACCAGAATCCAGTCATAGCAGAGGAGGGGTGGTCAGCTAGACTCTGTCTTCCCCCAGGATGAAGACAAGCCTGAGGACGAGATGGCTCAAAAGCGGGCCAGCCTGTTGGAGCGGCAGCAACGGCGGGTGGAGGAAGCCCGGCAGCGTAAACAGTGGCAGGAGGCTGAGAAGGAGCAGCGGAGGGAGGAGGCTGTGAGGTGAGGCTGGGCCCAGCTGGAGACCCCTGGCCTTTGGTCTTGCTGTTCCCAGTGACCCCATGCCTGTTCTGCTTGCACAATTCCTTTTGATCTGCAGGCTGGCCCAGGAGGAGGCCTTGGGCCCAGTCCCCACAGTCCCCACGGCGACCCAGGCCCCTGCAGCCCGAGCCACGGCTGAGGAGGAGGTGGGCACCCGTCGAGGGGACTTCACGAGGCTTGAGTATGAGCGCCGGGCCCAGCTGAAGCTGATGGATGACCTTGACAAGGTGCTGCGGCCCCGGGCCACTGGGACCGGGGGACCGGGTCGGGGCGGGCGGAGGGCCCCCCGGCCACGCTCTGGTTGCTGTGATGACTCGGCCCTGGCACGAAGCCCAGCCCGCGGCCTGCTGGGTGAGAACCCCGTGGGGTGGGGCCTGCTCAGTACCCTTTCCTGGGTTGTCTGGGTCAGGCCCCGTGGGTGTGTGGGGAGGGACAAGCGGTGTCTGTAGGGGAGCAGGGCTGGGACAGGTATGCAGGTGGGAGGGGTCTCCAGTGGGGTGATGGAGTTTCCCTCCATGGCTGAATGATGAGGCCCCCTTAGAGATGTTTGGGAGTGAGGTCTTTCTGGTCTGACCAGTGGAAGGTGAGACTGAAGGGGCTGCAGAGGACTGAGGGGTCTTGGGCAGGGCTGGCCCCAACCACTTGGGTATTTATGGAGGTGAGGGGCCTTCAGGTGAGGCTGACCCATGCCGTCTCTTCCCAGGCTCTCGGCTCAGCAAGATCTACTCCCAGTCCACACTGTCCCTGTCCACTGTGGCCAATGAGACCCCCCATAACCTTGGTGTGAAGAGGCCCACATCTCGGTGAGCTCGGCCTGGCAGGCAGGGGATGTCTCCAAGTCTGCTGGGGTGCACACATGTATTGAAATCCAGGGGCGGGGTGCCTAGGTGGAAGGATGCGTGCATGTCTGTGTACATGTGGGATTGTGTGCACCTGGCCTACTGGCCTCAAGAATGTGCCCAGTGCACGGGGAATGGGGCACATCTGTGGGAATGAGCGTCCGGGAAGGCGAGGCGTGCACTTGTGGGGATAGCTGATGCGCACTCATGTCTCTTTTGGTGCCCTGGTCCCTCTTCCCACCACTGACTCCAGCTGTGCCCCGTCCCTTTCCTACTATAGAGCTCCATCACCGTCCGGCCTCACGTCCCCAAGCCGCCTGCCTGGCAGCCGAGAACGTGACTGGGAGAACGGCAGCAACGCCTCGTCCCCGGCGTCCGTGCCTGAGTACACAGGTAAGCAGGATTTTGGGTGATGTCACAAAGGGCTCCACCTGGCTGCCTGTCATCCCTGCTGACCACCCTGCCTTCTAGGTCCACGGCTGTACAAGGAGCCCAGTGCCAAGTCCAACAAGTTCATCATTCACAACGCCCTGTCGCATTGCTGCCTGGCAGGCAAGGTGAACGAACCGCAGAAGAACCGCATTCTGGAGGTGAGCTTGAACCTGCCTGGGGGTGGGGGCTGGTGGAAGGGTCAGTGGTTAGGCCTGGCCAGCTGACAGCTTCCATCACCTCCCAGGAAATTGAGAAGAGCAAGGCCAATCACTTCCTGATCCTCTTCCGGGACTCAAGCTGCCAGTTCCGGGCACTGTACACGCTGTCTGGGGAGACGGAAGAGCTGTCGCGGCTGGCGGGCTATGGGCCCCGCACTGTCACTCCCGCCATGGTTGAAGGCATCTACAAGTACAACTCGGACCGCAAGCGCTTCACCCAAATCCCCGCTAAGACCATGTCCATGAGCGTGGATGCCTTCACCATCCAGGGACACCTCTGGCAGAGCAAGAAGCCCACCACACCCAAGAAGGGTGGTGGCACCCCCAAATAGCCCTGCTCTGGACCATGCACCGGCTGGGCCCTGTGTGCTCTGGCCGTCCTCCTAGAAGACAGTCAGTCCATATCCCTGGGGTCCTGTCTGTCCCCAACCTTGTCTGGGTGGGGCTGGAGTCCCCACCCCCTAACTGAGTCTGGTCCTGCTGTGGGGACTGAGCTGGGGGTTCAAGGACTCAGGGCTCAGCTCAGTCCCCTTGTCTGTTCTCCCTACCTTGTTGAATAAAATAAAGAGAAGTTGAGCCTTGTTACCTCCCTTTGGCTCACTAGGTTTCCACCTCTTGTTCTTTTGAACCAGCTCTACTTTGTCTTCTTTGCCTTCTTGGTGGCCTTGAAGTGGCTTCTGCCAAAGTAGTGGCCTTCCTCCCACACTCCCTCCTTGGTGGATGTTTCTCAGAATGGACGTCTTGACACAGGAGGCTCCCGACCAGCTCTCCTCTCCCTGGGCCTCCCCCACTTCCCAGTCACTCATTTTCCTCTGTTGTTACTGGTCTTTCCTGGCATTTGGTCCACAGCCAGCTTCTAACTCGATCTTTCCTCCACAGCCAGCCCATCTATGTTTCTAGGCTCAGTTGCTGCTTCTGGGCTGGGGATCCTGTGTTCCCCTGCTCTGAGCCCCACACCCGAGGATCCGGTTGCCACTGGCTGTCTCAGGTGCAGGGCCCCAGCCGCAGCCCTGAGCCAGGCTGGGCCTGGCTTCCCCAGTACAATCTAATCCTGTGCAGCTCACCTCTGAAGGCCCCCTCTCTCAGGTCCCATGACTGCCCCATAGCCCAAGCCAACAGCCTGGGCCTCCTTGTGTCCCCAGCTGCCTCCTGCCCACATGACAGCCTGCTACCTGCTCAGAAGACAAATCTGATTAAGTCTAAAGCCTAAAGCCCCTTTATAGCTTAGAGCCCACTAATGGCTTCCCAGAGCTTAGCACTAAGGACCACACCCTGCTGTGGCCTGTGGACAAGGTCTGGCTCCTGGCCCCTTGCCAGTAAGTTCACAGAGCTGGAAGGGGCCTGCCTCACTGCACAGGGCTCCTGGGTTTGTGGAGCAGAATGGTTCTGGGCAGGGGCTGGCAACACCAGAGCACCATGGCCGGGCACCCGGCTCAAGGAGGCGGCAAGCTTGATATATGAGGCCTTGGTGGGGAGGGTGTGTGTGTGTGTGTATGTTGAGAGTGGGTGTTTGCTTGGCCGTGTGTGTGTGTGTGTGTGTGTGTGTGTGTGTGTGTGTGTGTGTGTGTGTGTGTGTGTGTGTAGAGTGTGTTCGCTTGGCCGTGTGTGTGTGTGTGTGCTTGGCCGTGTGTGTGTGTGTGTGTGTAGAGGTGTGTAGAGTGTGTTCGCTTGGCTGTGTGTGTGTGTGTGTGTGTGTAGAGTGTGTTCACTTGGCCGTGTGTGTGTGTGTGTGTGTGTGTGTGTGTTGAGAGTGGGTGTTCGCTTGGCCTGGAGCCGCCTGCCCCATCTTCCGCACCAGTCAATCTGGGCCCAGGGCCAGGTGCTGTAAGCTGGCAACCCCTGGGGCACCTAGGTGGCAGGAAGGAGGCTCAGACCATGACGTACAAACGGGCTGTATTAGAGGGGAAGGGGGTGGGGCAGTTAGTCTTCCTTCAGGCTCCCGAACACGGCAGCTGGCACGCTCTGCTGCTCCAGTCGTACCTCTGTGAGGAAAGAAGGCAGGGAGAGGGTCACTCTCCCAGGGACCGCTTCTGCCTCTACCCCCTGGCTACTAGGTCAGCACTGACCATTGGGTTCCAGGTCCATCTCGTCTTCATCCTCTTCTTCACCAAGCTGGATCTCTTCAGGGTTGGCCTGCTGGGCCAGCTCTGCCAGCTCCTCCCGGGATGCATCGCTCCTGAAAGTGGGAGCCACATTGCCTCAGTGAGGGCCTCCTGCTAGATGCCCCTGAACCTCCCCTCCCCAAGAAGAGCTGGACTGTCGTCCTGCCACCCCAGCCCTCACCTCACAAAGAGGATCTTGCTCTGGGCTCGCGGGGGCTGGTCCCGCTCAGCCTCGGCTGCAAGCTGCTCCGCTCGCTGCTCCAGCAACTTCATGTCATCCATGCCACTCTGCCCAGGGGCCAGGTCAGACACTGGGGGAAAGGAGGGGTAAGAGTCACAGGCAGGCTCTTCCTAGGTAGTCAAACACACAACACCTGAATCCTTGAGTCCTCAGCTGAGGAGGGTGAGGCTACAATGGGCCTTGGTGCCACCAGTGGATGCTCTAGGGCCAGGGAATGTATTGCCCTGTGTGGTGGGGAGAGGCTGGGGCACTCACCGGTGCCTGTGGCGCTGCCTGACACCTTGAGCATCTGGGAAGCCATGAAGTTGACCTGTGTGTTGTACGTAGCCTGCACGCTGCGACGGATTCGCAGCATCTCCCTGATGGTGTCCTCGTTGCCGTGCCGGACCTCAAAGTCCTTCCATGTTTGCCAGAATGCTCCAGTGGTCTGTGTGGGGTGGGGTGGAGATATGAGCATGTGGCCCCAGGTGCCCTGCTAAGGCCCCCAACACCTGCCCTCACCTCCCTCCAGACTCGGCCCTACCCGGGGGTCGCAGATCTGAGAGCAGAAGCTGTAGATGGCCCGGGCACGGTCGATCTCCCCGAGTTTACACTCCATGTCCGCAAACCTCAGGCACATCTCCCGGGCGTGCTCATCAGAAAGCACCTGGCAGGTGGGGCCAGGGAGGACAGATGTTCAGTGAGGTTCTCAACTCACTTCCACTGCCCTGGGCTTTCAGAAGGTCCCCCACCTGCCCCATGAGCAAGCTGTCTTGGACTCTCCTGCCTGCTAGGACCCCTTCATTGACCTCCAGCCCCCCACCCAGTCCTGGGCCTCTGGTGTGGCAGGCACCTCGATGGCCTTCTGGTAGATGCCACGGGTGTGGGTGACGCCATAGATCTCGGCAGCCCGCTTGATATAGATGTTGAACATGTCATACTGCTGAGCGGGCTCCACGGCCCTGGTGGCGCGATCATACACAGCCATGGCGTGCCGGGCCAGGCCCCATTCTTCCTCCAGCTGTGCGTATAGCAGGTACAGGGCTGCACAAGGTGGGAGGAAAAGGGTCCAGTTAAAGGTCAGAAGCTTGTCTTGTGTGCCCATGCCCACGCCTCAGGGGAACCCACAGCCTCCTCACTCTTGGCATATTTGGGTGGACAGCCATCCAGCGCCTGCTCGAACAGGTCCCGAGCCCGCTCCAGCTTACGGCCTCCATAGCGAGCGATGAATTTAGTCAGGTAGGTGCTCCAGATGTCCGACACATTGGGCCACTTGAACAGTGAGATGCCTCGCTCATATGCCTGTCCCAAGGGAAGCTGTGTGAGTGCACAGAGGGTGTGAACCTGGCACCCCGACGTCCTCAGCTAACCTCTGCCAGGAGGCTGCCCAGGCCTCCCTCTAGCTCAGCAAGGGGGCCCCTTCCCAGTCAACCCCTCCTCTGAGTCATTGTGACACAGTATGAATGCTGCCCTGCCTCCCCCGACAGACCACAAGGACCCAAGGACAGGGTGCAACAGGACACTAAGCACGGGGTGTCTGGCACCTGTAGATGACATTATGGGAAGAGGCAGGGTGTCTCCTCACCTCTGCAGACACAGTTCCCAGTATCATGGGCAAAGGGCCTTGAGGGGCATAAGTGTACATGTTGATCTCCCAACCCTGGATCCGCCTGTGGTCTTCACACAGACACAAATATAATCACGATCATTCCAGCAGTGAGGTAGGGTAGACACCCCTCAACAGTACTTGGTGCTTGTCAGGGGCTGAATTGTGCTCCCCCAGCCAGCTTCACATTCATACACTGAGTTCCTAATGCCCAGTACCTCTCGACACAAACACGTTTGGAAATGAGGTAACTGAATTGTAACAAGGTCATTACGGTGGGGTAATCTACCATGAATGGTGACCTTGTAAAAAAAGATCAGGACAAACATATACAGAAAGACAGCTGTGTGAGGACACAGGAACAGACAAGAGGGCATCTGCAAGCCATGGAGAGAAGCCTTGGAAGGAACCAGTCCAGCCACACCTTGACCACGGTCTTCAAGCCATCCTCTGGGCACTCTGCAGCCACACCCTGCAGCCCAGGAGGATGGGGTGAAATCACTGTTGGCCTGCACTCACCTTAAAGCTCTCCTCGAAGTACTTGTGCTCCTCCAGGAACATGGCGTAGTTGATGACAATCTGAGGTGTGGCGATGCGCAAGTCCAGGATGCGGTCATACACGGCCTTAGTGGACTATGGGCACAGGGTGGGTCAGGACATGCTGCAGGGCTGGGAACAGACCCTGTGTCTCCTCCTACGGCAGCTTACCTGGAAGGTGCCCAGGCTCTCCTCCAGGTCAGCGAGCATCGACCATACCTTCAGTGACTTATACACACGGTTCTGCACAGGCTCTGAGCTATCGAAATATTCGGCCCGGCGGGCAGGCAGTGCTGTTGCTTTCTGTGGGGAAGATGATGTCAAGGAGACACTCAAGGGTTGTCCCAGCCCCACTGCACATCTCACAGCTCCCACCCCACACCTTAAATTGGCTCTCACCCGCAGCAGCCTCAAGGCCTCGTCGTAATTCTCATGCCGGAGCTCCAGCTCCCCACACTGGCACCATACACTTGCCAGGTCATCCACCTGCTTAAAGTTCACTTTGGTGGCCTTCTCAAGGATGATGCGGGCCTGTGAGGATGGGCAGAAGCCAGGCTGAGATCCTGCTGTATTGTGCCGGCGCACATGTGCAGGGGCACAAACATGGCTCCCTCTCTCTCTCTCTCACATATATACACACACACACACACACACACACACACACACACACACACACACTCTAACATGGCACTTACATCATCCAGCTGCCCATTGTCCTCATAAAACTTGGCAAATGCGACCCACAGGGTGTGGGGCTTGCCTGTGGCCTTGAAGGGGTCCACTGTCTGCACTGCCTCTGTGTAGGTGTTGATGATCTGTGGGCAGGAGGGACAAGGTCAGGTTAGATGGTCAGGGCCCCGCAGGCGAGGGTGGGCTAGGGCCGTAGCTCTGAGGGGTGGGAGGCTGAGGCTGGGGCCTGTCACATACCTCCCGGGGGCGGCCCTGGTGCAAGGCCACGCGCTTGTGCCACTCATGCACGTGATGTGGGTTTTGCCGTAGCAGGACGCTGTTGAGGAGCAGGGGCCGCCGATTGATGAGCTGCTCAAAGCGGGCCAGGCGCAGCTCCAGGTCCACATCGTCTGGGAGCCATGAACGTGTTCATGAGGGCCAAGGAGTTGGGGGTGATGGCCCTGGCATGTGGCCACCTCTGTCTCTTCTGGCACCCAACCCAGAGCTCTGGGCCCTAGAGACACAGGTCACCCTGGACCCAACCCCAGCCCTCCTGTCCTGTCAGCCTGAGAAGTGTCCCCAATCCTGGCTACTTCAAAACCCCAGCCCCATTGTCTACCCAGGCTTTCTCCCTGCTGCCGTGGCTGAGCCTCCTGGGGCTGTCCTCACGTAAGATGTGCCCCTCTACCACCTCTAGCTCACCCCAGCCCTCTTCCCCACCAGTGGGGGCTGGGCCTGTGGCTCACCCTCCTCCTCACGCCCCAGCTCAGAGGCAGTCTCCATCTTAGCGGCGATCATGCTCTCCTCAAACTGGGCATAGCTGTCAAACACCTGTGTGAAGTCCCGCACGGTCATCACAGTGCGGATGGCCTCTTCGTACACATCCCGAGCCTGCAGGCACAGGGGGCACTGAGGGAGATGCTGGCAGTGGAGAGGCACGAGAGTCCGCACACAAGGACACAGGGACGCAGAGCAGTGTTCTCAGACCCAGTCCCAAACTAGAATTATCACAGATCATCCTGGGCCTCCCCAGCACCCATGAGCTCTGAGCAGTGATCCCAGCCACTGGGATGAAGCCATGTGATGGAGCCCTTCCCACCCCTGCCTGCCCTGCCAGACTGATGGGGAACCTCAGGGCCTGCTTGGTCCTAAGTGAGAGCCCCTTGTACAGTCACCTTAGGACTCGACAGAGATGCCCATGTAAAGCACTTGACATCCAGGAAGACTCAATAGGTGACCAGTGACATGGGCCCACCCTGCAGGAACCCTAACCTCAGCTTAGACATAGAGGGCTCCATCTTTGCTTCAAAGCATCCACCTACCTGTCTGACCCTTTCTCTGGCTCATGTCCTCCTCCTTCCCACCAACTAAGCACAGCCCCATCCCACTATCCCTGTCCCTGGCTGGTCCTGCCCCAGGAGCTCCACTGCCCCTCCCCATGTATTCTCAGGGAGGGGCTCTGTAAGCTTTGCACTCCCTCCCTCCCTGCCTTCCCTGGTCCCCTACTACCCTTACCCATGATTCCCAATGCACTCATTCTAGCCTCGGCTGCTTTCACCTTTGCTCAGGCAGCAGTAGCCTCAGCCAGCCCTCTGAGGGCTCCAGAGCCCCACCCACTCCCAAGCATGGCACTTGAGAGCAAGATGACAAGGACAACAGCAGTCACACTAACCTGAGGAAGCAGTCCTCATGTCAGGCCCCTGATTTACTCTGTGTCACCACACCAACACCTCACAGGCGAGGAGTGGCTGTCACCCCTAGTTGACAAATGGGGACACCCAGGCTTAACAGGACCTAGGCCACACAGCCAGGAGGTGGCAGAGCCTTCCTTGAATTCAAGTCTGCCTGCTCTTAAGGTGCACTTGCCTATAGTGCTGCCAGGGTAGCAATGTGTGTGTGGATGCACTTGTATGTCACACACTGCACATCTGAACGTGTCCTCTCTATGCACCTGTAAGCATGCTTCCTCTGGGTGTTGGGTGTCAATACTGCACATGTCCATTGTTCTGTGCCTCTACCATTCCCGGCCTTCACCACACCGTGGTTTTACTCACACAGTCAGTCAGCTTGTGCTTATCCGTCTACCCAGTGAGACTAGAAGTTCTGCATAGGTGGCAGTGTCTCACTCACAATGTCCCTAGCGCCTGTGTCTACGCCTGCTACGGGCAAATCATTTGACACTAAAGAAATCAACCACAAACAAAACCTGTACACCTCCAGGAGTCCTTGGCCCATAGCCTGTCTGTTGGTGACAGCTGACGTCCATTTCCCACAGACCTTCTCAAAGTGGCCGCTGCGGATGTAGTAGTCAGCCAGTGAGCACCATAGCTTTCCTAGCTGGTCAGTGAAGCGGGTGAGACCACCGCGGATGATGGCGTCCACATTGAGCGACTGCACCTTGTCCGGGTTCTGGGAGATGAGGTCACACAGCTCGTGCCACAGCTGCAGGGCACAGGGTATGTATGGGTAAGGCTTAGTCACTGTTCTGGAAGGGGAAACCCCCCCACACCCATCCCCCATCTCCCTGCAGGCTCACCTGATAGTTGGACTTGCCGGCCTTGGACACAAAGCGCTCATCATTCACTACAGTGGCCAGCCGCTGCGCAGCCTCATCCAGCCGGTCACTTGACTTCAGGTACTCGATGTACTCCTCGGCGCTCTCAGGACTCAGCTGGGGACCGCCAACCCCACCAGAGGTCAGTGGGGCACAGGGTCACACTTCCCTCTTGAATTGGCAGCCCTTGGCCTCCAGATACCCAACCACCACTGTCTTGGCCAACAGCCAGCCCTGCTGACCCACAGTGGTCCAGCCTCAGTGCTAAATGGTCTGGCCTTGGCCCCTTTGAGTCAGCCTTGATCCCATGGGTCCAGTCTTGACTGTAATAGTCTAGTCTGAGCTGCAGCCTCAGTTCTGACTGGCCAGCCTTGGCCCTTTCCTTTAAGCTCCACTGGTCTACTATTAGTCCTGATGTGTCCAATTTGGACTCCAAACAGTCTGCTCTGTCACAGGCCCCCACACAAACTGCACCATGCATAACAGAGATTATAAGTTAGAGCACATGCTGCTCCATTCAATACTGCACATGTCCATTGTTCTGTGCTGCTACCATTCCCGGCCCCATCCTGCATGGGGCTTGTGTCCCAGTGAGCCAGTGTTTGGAAACTCTGGCCTTGGGAACTGGCCTGCCTGTGAGACTCACCTTGAGGAAGCGCCGATAACCTCGCACAGCGGTCTCTGGCAGTGGGTGTGAACGTAGGAAGCGCAGATACAGGGGCCAAATACGAGAGTGCTGTGTGATGGGTAGTGCCCGGAGGGCGCGGTCAAAGGTGCGGCGTGTGTGTGTGACACGTCCCTGGTCCATGAGGAACTGGCAATAATCTAGCCATAGACGGGGCATCTGGAAGTGCAGGGAGATGGCCAAATCTGAGCCATGAGCTCTACAGCCTGGTCACAGACACCAGGTGTTTTATGGTTGAGCCACACTTGGGGCACAAATGCAGCAGGACCCGGAGCTCTCAACTCCAGGAATTTAGCTCACCCCAACATCTCATGTACAGAGGCAACAAGGGTCCAATTCTCCATCCCTACTACACTTTGCCTAGTCACCCCTGCTTTGCCCACTCCCCACCTTGTGCATGAACACAAACGCCCTCTCATGGCAGTTGTTGACATCTTCATAGGCAGGGTCGGTCACACAGCGATGCTTCACCTGTGCCCGGCGTGCCTTCAGGTAGCGGTACCAGAGTTTGTAGCTGGAGAGTAAGAGGAAATAAGACACTGATTGGTTGTGGTCACCATACCACGACCCCTGCCCTAGGGAGCAACTATAGAGAGAAAAGGGCTGAGGAGTGACAGGTCCCAGGAAGAGAGGGAAGGACTGGGATATCAATAAGGAAAGCTGTGTAACCTGTCAGGGAATGCATGCTCAGTGACAGAACACACAGCAATCACCTGGGACCTCACACAGGTTGGGTTCTCACTGGGCAAGGAGGACAAGGGGTCAGTGGGTAGGGCAGCTAGAGCCACTCATACCTGCAGGGCAGCAGCTTGAGTGCCCGCTCATACAGCTGATTGAGTCGGGGCTTTGGGGCACCCTGTTTGAACTCAATGTAGCGGAGCCAGCATTTGACAGAGAACTGGTTCCGCATGATTTCCTCCTCATAGGGAAGGTCCTCTTCCTCCTGCCAGGGTCAGGGAATGGATAGAATAGAGACCTATGTTCAGAGTCTTGAGTGCAGTGGAGCTTTGGGCTTGTACAAATTTATACAAAGATCCCAGTCTGCCCATCCTCGCCGCCCCCCCACCTACTGTTGAAGTCAGCTCTCTAGACTTTGGAATGCTGGTCCAGACCTTCACCCCTCAGAATTCAACTACCCATAATCTGACCCAGATAGTCAGATCTCTAGTTTATTAGGGCTGTAATCCACATAATGAGACCATTAACTGGACATCAGACTTTGCACTCCAAATCTCACTGCCCATTCTCCTTCTCAGATTGCCAGACTACTTGACTCCATGGTGCTGGTCCAGATGCCAGGCCTTACCTCCTCATAACATAATTCATCTCAGATACCAGGCCCTAGAGCCCTCAGTGTCCAATTGCTACCAGCTGGTACATGTTCATCCCTGGCCCAGGTGACCAAATCTTTACCTCTGGCTGTCTCAGTGCCAGATACCAAATTGCTGCCCCCTCGGGATGCCACTAGCCAGAATCTAGCTCAACTCTACTTACAGCACTTGGAAGTTAAGCTTTTATCTCAGAAGGAGAAGAAGGGTCCCTTACTTAATCCAGACACCAAGAATCTGGTGAAAATGTCAGCTTCTACTCCAGGCTCCAAGCCTTCAGCTCTTTAGGATTTCACTAGCCATCACCTGATAAACCTCACATCGCCAGGTCTTTTCTTCACACTCCAGGGTTCTTGTAGCCCCAAGCCTTTACCCCTTGAAACCATAATGCTCCCAACCAGAGCTGGGCCGTTTCCCAGAACGCCAACGCTTTACCAAAGAAACCAGAATCCTAACCTTTAAAGGTCACTATGCCTTTACTTCAAACACTAGTTCTTTATCTGTCAAAATCCAGTTATGCCATTTCCCTCCACTCTCACTGCCCCAGTGTCCACATTTCCAAGCCCCAGGCCGGAGACGCCAACTCTTTACTCAGGCCATGAGGTATCCATTCTTGATACCAAATCTTTACTCCCGGTAAAGGTCGGTGTGGACATCATCACCTGGCCTTTGGTCCATTAGAGTCCCCCGGGCCTTGGGTACGTAGTTTTGACCTAAACTTCCCAAGCTACCAGACCTCGACTCTCGGCGGAATCCAGGTTCCTATCCCTCACAGCGAGCCACCCCTGGTCTTACCGCGCACTTACAAAGACAAGGTCCGGCCGCTCGGGCCGCGAGACTCGCGCCATCACCACCATTTTCCTGGTTCTCCAGGTATAGAAGAGAGTCGCGACCTAGTGACGTCTCTCTCACTGAAGGCCCGCCCCTGCGAGCTAGACCCGTTTCCTATTGGCTACATCCTTCTTGACTGCTCGGGCAGCGTTGAGGACTTTTTGTGTAGACTGAGCCAATGACCGGAAGCAGAGAAGATCAACTGAAGATACGTCATCATAGAGGCCATCGACCAATCAGCTTCACTATTGGTGCCTGCGAATCACCAATGAGCTGCTATCTTCCTTGCGGGTCAGCTTTGGGCGGAAGTGGCTTCGTAGACCAGGAGAAGCGAGATGGGGGTGAAGCTGGAGGTGTTTCGGGTCAGTGATGCTAGGGAGTGGGTTGGGCGATTGGCTGGGTAATCTTCTTGGATCTGAGGATGAGGCTTCGAAAATAGGGGACTTCAATGAGGGGAAAACTGGCGAGAAAGCACTTGAGATTTGAGAGAGCGCTTTACGTTTGAAAACCCAGAGGAGGGGACGCTAGATTGTGCGAGCTCAGAGTGGAGCGTCTGGGTTTGGGAACCTAAGGGGTTGGTCTGAGGAAGGGCCTCAGAGAGGTGAGCTGAGGAGGGGGCCCAAGGAATGAAGGCTTCAAATCCTGGGGGAGCTCTCGGACTCAAAGTGGGCGAGTGTATGCCTCCAATGGGGTGACTCTTAGTTTTAGGGATAGAGTTGAAGAATGAGGCTTCCTAGGTTTGGGGTGCTCCCGGAATCTGATAGGGGAGTGCTGGTGGGCCGTGTGTGTGTGTGTGTGTGTGTGTGTGTGTGTGTGTGTGTGTTCGTGTTCTTTGGCTGCCAGAAATAAAGCGTTCTGGATTATGGGGCCAGGCATTAGGGCGTCAGGCTTCTGTACTCTTAGTAGGAGCTCTGGAATTTCTGGGGAGGCCCGGAGGAGGTGCTCCTTGGCTCTACAGAGGGATGCATCTATCCTCCAGCCTCTCAGTAGCCTCTGTGTTGCTGGGGTGGTGGCCGTCCCAGGCCCTGTTCATCCACCCTTGCCTTTGCAGATGGCACTGTACCTCACTTTCCCTGTGGCTATGTTCTGGATCTCCAATCAGGCTGAGTGGTTTGAAGATCATGTCATACAGCGCAAGGTGGGCATAAGGAGAATGTTCACTGGTTCATTCCAGGGGTTGGGGGAGGGTATGGGGCACCAGTCTGCTGGAGACTATTGCCTACCTCCCAAGAGCCAACCCTACCCTGGGTATGGGGCTCTGGGTACTCCTGGTTCCTGACCCCATCTGTGACTTTTTAAAAATTATTTGTTTATTGTGCTGGGGATCAAACCTGGAGCCTCATGCATGGCTAGGTACACACTCAACCACTGAGCTATGTCCTCAGCCCTCCATCTGTGACTTTGTTCCCACAGAGGGAGCTGTGGCCACCAGAGAAGGAGGGACAGGTAAGTAGCCTATTTTTCCAACAAATAGATGGAGGGGACTGGGTTGCTATGGCCACAATGGGGCTGGGTTTTCAATGAAAACTTCACCCTCAGCTGTGGGTAGAGAACTGAGAACAGAGGGGCAAGTGGTTTCCTTATTGCTCTCTGAAGGATGAAGCTGAGCCCACGTGAACCCTGGTTGTAATTGGCACTGGAGTCCCAGTATAGACACTGCACTCTGAAGCTATGTCAGGGGCAGGGTGGTGGGAGAAGACCCAGGCCCTGAGGTGTGCATCCCCTCCTTCCCATCCCACCCTGTTCCTTACTCCCAGCGTCAAGAGATAGAAGAATTCAAAGAGAGAATACGGAAGCAGCGGGAGGAGAAACTCCTTCTCACCGCCCAGCAGAGCTCCTGAGGCTCCAAGAGTTTGCCTCTCAGCCCCTCCACCCATGAAATAACACATACTCAGTCTCTGGTTGCTGTTGCAAGTGTTTTATTGTTTGCTTTCGGGGGCCCAACGGGGCCCAGGTCAGCTTGGGCCCTCAGGGGGCTTGTGTCTGGGGCTGGGGGCTGCTGTTCCTGCGGAAGCTGAGAGCACTTGGATCCTGAGGAGTGAGCAGTGGCTGAGGACTGAGAGTCCCAGCTCGTTTCTGCATTCCGTCCTGTGGATGAAGAGGGTTCAGTGAGAAGGAGTCACCAAGGGTAGTACAAGCTAGAGGCAACACAAACGTTGGAGAGAGGGTGCAGGTGGGAATCCGTGTCCTAGCTCCTGTGTGTGACTGCCCTGTCTGTCCCCATAGGGCAGTCTTCCATGTTTGCCTAATCTGTCAGTTAGGGTGGTGTTTGGGTGTCAGTTGGCAGGTCTTAGGCTGCCGCTGGAGTCTTAAGTAAAACCCAGGCTGTACGTGGGAGTGTATGGATGTGTTTATCTTGTAAGTGAACTCACCTGCCCTCTTGCTGCAGATGTCACCACAGGAGGGTGACCCGTTTTCTCCCTTTGGCCTCCCCAAATCCCTCAGATGTGTGGCAGGAGGCATAAGTTCCAGCTATGGCTCTGACCCCCGCATGGCCTCTGCATGGTCTCTGCATGACGTTGAGCCCCTCTCAGCCCCATCTGGGCCTTGGTCTTCCCCTCTGAATGTAGGGCAGATGATGGACATGTGTGGAGGTTGGGCCCTATTTCCTCCTGGCTGGGAATGGTAGCAGGGTTAGAGAGGGCAACCTCTGTCCAGAACTGGTCAAACATCACCTACCTTGGGGCCAATGGGCTGGAAGCCAGGCAGGGAACTGACTGTCACACGCTGGTCATCCATGCGGCGGCCCTGGGTGCTGGCCAGCATGTCCATGAGACTGTCCATCTCGGGCGCGGGGCCACCCTCTGCATGGAGTAGAGACGTGGGTATGAACATATACGTGGACTGCAGAGGAACCCAGCACAGTTGTCCCCCTGACCAATATCCACAAACCCCTGTGCTCCTGCCCCATTTGCCCCCCAGGCAGCACCCTCATGCCCAGGCTCACGACTTTCAGGGGTCTGGTCCGGGTCCGCCTGCAGTGAACAGCGCTGTTCCTCCATCCGGTCGCCCTGCACGTGGCTCAGCAGGTTGAAGAAGCCCTCCTGGTCTGGCGATCCCGCCTGGGGACAGACACACTTGGTCCAGTTGGGGACTCCACCCTTTCCCTCCTGGCCAGCCAGCTCCCACCCCAACCCAGGGCTGCCCTCCTGCCTCTCTCATCTCTCACCATGGTCTTTGTCGATCTGCTGCTCTGCAGAGCTGCTCTGAATGAGACATGAGTCTCCTTCCCAGTCCTGGCCCCCACCCCAGGGGCCCCAGCCAGCAGCACCACTTCACGTGGTGCCGCCTCCTGGGAGAAGTTGTGGTTACTGACAGTGTCCAGAGTCCTAGATTGGGACCTGATGGGGATAGCCGAGGGGCTGGGACATGAACCAGGAAAATGGGGTTTGGGAGCCACCCCTAAGTCCCAGTACCCGCTATCTCCTGAGGGTCAGCAACAAGAGCCTTCCCCTGTGCCCTGGGCAGGGGCCAGGCACTCAGACCTTCTGCCCACCAGCGCCTCCCTGCTGTGTCAACTGGGTCAGGGGGCTCTAGAGAGTTGCTTGCTAATTAGGTGCCCTACAAATTAACTAGTCCTGTCAATCAGAGCTCCAGGAGCTGGAGAGGGGTGGGGCTCTCTTACCTTGCCAAGAGGGTCTGAGTCCCCCTCCTCTCCCTTCTCTTCTTGCTCCATTGTGTCCCTCACCACACACTGTCCACTTTTCCTGCTGGCCTCTGCTCTGGCCCCGCACCAGAGAGGGCCTTTTAAATGTTGAGATGGGGGGTGGGTACTCTCCCCAGCCCCAAATCCCCAGCTCACGCCCCATCTGCTCCCACCCAAGCTTAAGCCCCATAAAGATGATCCAGATAATTGTTTGCTCAGACTGATGCTGAGCATGGAGTGGGGGTCAGGGACAGGACAGCTTGGGTTTGAATCTTGCTGGGCCCAACTGCACTTACTGGGCTCCAAGGACTGTCTGGTGAGGTGTGGAGGAAGCCAGACAGTGTTAGGGAAGACAGGCCAACAGGAGGATGGGGCCCACAGTCCACTGTGGGAAACTGTGCAGGATGTTCCCATCCCAGACAGCTGCTGCCCCATAGGTAACTTTGGGCTCTTCCTCTTGGAAGAGCAGTTGCCATCTGCAGAGCATTAGTGTCCAGGACCCCTTCCTTCCCTCAGACACCATCAGCCAGCCTAGCTCCTGATCATCTCCTGGTCACCCTTCCATCTCCTCACTGCCTCTGAGGTCTGGCTGCTCACCCTAGGCCCCAAGATGAGAAAATCTGGGCTCTCCTGCCCTCTGGCCACCCAGATGCCAAGTTGAGCTGTCTCTGATCATCACTACAATCCTGTGTGGGAACAGAAGAATTCCCTGTCTGCTTTGGTAAACAGCTGTGGCTGTCAGTGTTTAAGGACCCCTGTCTTCTTCCCAAGATGCCCTTCTGGAAACCAGTTAATGTTCCTTCTCAAATAAATCCTGCCTGAGGTATCCCTGTCCAGGCCCCAACGTCCTCCTGGATGTGTGCATTTTCTAGGGCTGCTGGAGCAAACTACCACCAACCTGTTGGTTTAAAGTGACAGAACTTAATTGTCTCAAAGTTCTTGAGTCTAGAAGTCGGAAATCAAGGTGTCAGCAAGGCTGTTGCCCCCTGGATCCTGCCAGTTTCAGGGTCCTTTGCCTCTCTCTAGCTTCTGGTAGCTGTCAGCCATCCTGGCATTCCTTGGCTTGTGGCTGCAGCACTCAGTCTCCACCTGTGTGGTCACACTGCCCTCTCCGTGTGTACCCCTGTCCTCATAAGGATACCACTCATATTGGAGGAGTATGATCAGTATGATCTCATATTGCTAATTATATTTGTGACAATCCTATGTCCAAACAAAGTCACATTCTGTGATACTTAGGATTAGAATTTCAATAAATCTTTTTGGGGAGATGTATTGGGGATAGGGAACACAACTCAACTCATCACATTGACAGGCTGTATAGATGCCCACTCCCAAAGGGTCAGGTTGCAAAGGGGAGGTGGTTCCAGCTCCCCTACTTTGTACCTGTAATCCATGCTCCTGCTCTCGGGTTCTGAAGGGATCTCCTCCTGCTGTTCAAAACTTCCCCTTGAGCCCAAGAGTTCTTGCTATCGAGAACAAACCCAAATACTTTGGGGTAATGTGAATGGTCAAAAGTGGGTTATGGTGATGAATGTACAACCCTGAATATACTAAAACCCATTAACTTGTGCACTGTAGGAGAATATGTACAGTATGTGAATTACATCTCAATAAAGCTATTAAAGGAGAAAGAAGGAGAAAAAGGAGAAGAAAGGCAAAGAGAGGCCCAAACTCTCACCAAGGGTGGCCAACCATCCTTTGTCTGTGACTGTCACATTTTTATTACTGTTAAGTCCTGTGTCCTGGGAAATCCAGTTTTCAATCCTGGGCAAAGCAGGATGAGTTAGTCCAGTCTTCTCCTAAGAAGTCTGGCCCTTGTCACCCCTGTGATCTTACTTCCTTTCAGGATTTTGGTACTGGAGTTTGAACTCAGGGCCTCACACTTAGCTAGGCAGGTGTTCTACCACTTGAGCCACTCTGCCAGCCTTGTTTTGTGTTTCAAGATAGGGTCTTGAGACCCTATTTGCCTGAGATGGCTTTGAACTGAGATTCTCCTGATCTCTGCCTCCTGAGTAGCTAGGACTACAGGTGTGAGCCACTGGTGCCCAGCTTTTTTTTTTTTTTTCTTCCGGTTTTATTCAGTTATATATGTCCCATGTAAGTAGCAGAGACCCTGGAACACTTAATAAACATGGTCAAATGAAGGAAGCAGTTCAGATGACCAGGACTCTGTATTCAAACACATCACCTGCTAGATAGGTGACCATATTTGTACGGATGCTGCTAGGACTGTACCCTCTTGTGACAGCGTATCATACAGAGTAGGTCCTGAAATGGATTATTGCCCTGCGATCCTACTTTCTACGTGCACACGTGCCGGAGAACTGTGAGTCCGGGCTCCCGTCTGTGCGCGTGTCGTCGTAGAGTGTTCAGCGACTTGGTGCACTGCTGCGTGGACACACCTGCCGGTCCACCCAGCGCTGGCCGGGACTTCCTTGGCTTCAGCAGAACCGACGGCTGGGCAGGGCCAGGTGCTCAGGGGGCGGGGCTCGACCTCCAGGGGCGGGGCCCACGTGGGTGACGCGAAGGGCCACGCCCCCACCTTGACACAGACCCGGAAGCGGCAGCGGCGCTCCTGGGGGAAGATGGCGCCCTCGGGGCTGAAGGCGGTGGTGGGGGAAAGTGAGTGCCTCCTTGGGGCGGGACTCTGGTGTCCCCTGGGGGTTGGGGGGTCCGGGGTGCACGGACTCTGGGAGCCCAGGACCCCGCAGTGGGGAGTCGGGGGGCCGGGTTGGGCGCCCGAGAGCTTGACCTTCGAGGGGGCGGGCGGGGACTTGGTCCCAGCTGGACGCCTTGGCCCCCAGGTGCCGCAGCGGAACAAATTTGGCGGACTGGGCTCCAGGGACTCGGAGGGGCCGACAGGGAGTGGCGTAGGCTCGAGCCCAGACCCCTGGGCCTCCTAGAGTGCTTGTAGGAGGAAGACAGCCAGATCACCCCAGACTCTCGGGTGTCTGAGCCGGGCAAAGTTAGGGGGCTGGACTCCTGGGGCCCCACTGGTCAGCGACTCAGGAGGCGTTCCTAGATCCTACTGATGCACGGGTGACACGCGCAGGAATTTCAGGTGCTTAGGGTTCTTGAGCCTGCTCTGAGAATGAAAGCGCAGACAGACTAACAGCAGAGGTCGGAAAGATTTTATTTGGAGAGGATTTAATTGTAGAAAAGAGAAGAGAAAGACTGCATATTGGGGAACGCAGGGGGACCCGGAAACCGGTCATCCCATGGGTCAGGGTGGGGAGTGGGTTTTATAGCCTATTTGCATTGCCTGATGGCGGAGATGCCTTTCAGATGCAAACGGGTGTTTCCTAGGGAGGAGAAGTGTCTCCTTGACCTCCCACGTCTGTCCTTCACTATGATGGTGATGTGGGGGACGCCTTCCTCCTTGTACCATCTTCAGATCCCTTTGCAGCGTACCCCGGCGTCCAGACATAGCAAGCCCAGGTTCTTGGGGGGAGGGTAGAGGGCTCCCCTCCCCCATACGCGGTAGTTCCTGCCTTAGCTGCTCCTTCCGCTCTGGCGGTCCAGATAACAGTGGATGTGACACTCTGGTCAGGCCTGGCAAGGCCATCCTGTCCCTTCTCCCCACTCCTTCCTCTGAGCAGAACAGACTATGACTCAAAACCCCAACATTTCAATTTAAAAGGAGCCCTCTACACAGTTTCCCTGTTTGTAAATTGGGGGTGATGACAGGAGCTACTTCTTGGATTGGGGGAGGAGTGAATGGGAGGTAAGATGGGGGCTCTGGTCCTCAGGGAATATGGTGGGACCAGAGGACTAGCTTTAACGTTCTCATCCTTTCCCTGTAGAAATTTTGAGTGGAGTCATTCGGAGCGTCAAAAAGGATGGGGAATGGAAGGTAGGGGCAAGGCAAAGTGCCTGGATATCCAGCTCCTTATCCATGCTCATGGCAGGGAAGACCCTAATGTGGGATCATCCAAGAATTTCTTGAGGAGGCTGTTGGTCCACAGGGGTGGAGTTGGGTAGATGGGACCTGGGTGCTCTTGTCCAGCAAGCCCTTAAAGCTATCAGCTCTACCCACTGCCTCTGCCCCTTCTGAGGCCTGCTAAGGTCTCTTCTGCCCGCTTGTCTGTCCATTGACCCATATGGCCAAACATCCCTACAGGTGCTCATTATGGACCACCCAAGCATGCGCATCCTCTCATCCTGCTGTAAAATGTCAGACATCTTGGCTGAGGGCATCACCAGTGAGTGGATGCCTCCACCTCATGCTCCCCAGATGGAAGCTGAATATGGGACCCCTGGAATGTAGCCCTTGAGTGTGCAATTCCCTCAGACTCCTGCAAGTATAAAGCTCTCCCCTACATAGACAGCTCAGCGCATGTGACCAAGTACATCCCCAAATGTGCAGGCTATCAAGGCAGCCCATGGGCCCACAAAGGACTCCCCAGTCACAACCCTCAGGGGTCAGCCTCATTGACTGTACACCCTCTGTATGTATGTAAAATGCCCAGGATGGACTCTGAATGTGGGACCTCCAGAGAGCATAACTTTCTCTGGGTGACCCCCAATGTGCAGAACCCTGACTGTGTAGCTCTTAGATGTGGGTAGTCGTAGGTATATTTCTTCTGCTTAGGGGCCACAGGGAGTGCAACCAGTCCTCCTCCCCAAGCATCCAGCCCCCCAAACCTGAGACTCTCCATGTGACCCTGCCCCATGCCACCCACACGTGCTCCTCCCTCTTGCTATAGTTGTTGAAGACATCAACAAACGGCGAGAACCCATTCCTAGTCTGGAGGCCATTTATTTGCTGAGCCCCACGGAGAAGGTGCTTACCTGAGTGAGCTTGTGCGCGCGCACATGCATGGTCCTGGGTGTATTTGCATGTATTGGGGAGTGGGCAGTGGCCTGGGGGTCAGACAGAGGATGGGTTCGGTGAGTTCACGGTCAGACCCAGAGAATGATTCCTGTTCCCCAGTCTGTTCAGGCCCTGATTTCAGACTTCCGGGGGACTCCGACCTTCACCTACAAAGCAGCACACATCTTCTTCACTGACAGTGAGTGAGGGGGTGTAGAGGGCTGGGGCAGGGGGTGTGGGGATGGCTTTGGTCTGACAACCCCTCCTGCCCACCCCAGCCTGCCCTGAGCCCTTGTTCAGTGAGCTGGGTCGTTCTCGCCTGGCAAAGGTGGTGAAGACGCTGAAAGAGATCCACCTTGCCTTCCTGCCCTGCGAAGCTCAGGTACAGCCCAGGCTTCCTCAGAAGCAGACGTGAGACAGAACAGCAGTAGGGAGTCAGAGAGAGAAAGTAATAAGCTCTTGTCACCTGGAGTTCCATTCTTCTGGGAGCCCCTGGGGTACTCCCTCTGTGGAGCAGAGGGCAGAGTTGCCCCCTCTCAGGGGGAGGGAGTTGGGGAACTTATTTATAGACTTTTTTTGCATTGGTTGAAGGCTGTCCCCAGCCTGCAAAGAAGCTGGCAAAGCAGACTCCAGAGACCGGGGAAGATCCCAGGGAGATACAAGGAGTAGTAGCTGGCAGTTGGGCAGACGTGCACCTACACTGGTGCTCCTATCACTTCTATCCCCCAGGTGTTCTCTCTGGATGCCCCTCACAGCACCTACAATCTCTACTGCCCCTTCCGGGCAGGGGAGCGGGCACGACAGCTTGAGGCACTGGCTCAGCAAATAGCCACACTGTGCACCACGCTGCAGGAGTACCCAGCCATCCGTTACCGCAAGTGGGGATCCAGTCTAGCCTTGATGCTGCTCTCTGACTTTCACCCCATCCTGCACCCAACCTTTGAGCTTTCTGCTGACTCCAGCTCTGGCCCCCCGCTCTCATCCTCAACTCTACCCTTGACCCCTGATTTGTGCACAGCCCTACCAGACCCCACATCCTGATGCCTCTGTGTTTGACTGCCCCACCCCCAGGGGTCCAGAAGACACAGCCCAGCTGGCCCATGCTGTTCTGGCCAAGCTGAATGCCTTCAAGGCAGATACTCCCAATCTGGGCGAGGTGAGGGGGCACTGGGGAGGTGGGGAGAGGGCCTTGCAGGGTCAGAGTCAGTGTCTACATCCTTGCTCCTTTCTGCCCAGGGCCCTGAGAAAACCCGCTCACAGTTGCTGATCATGGACCGAGCAGCAGACCCTGTGTCCCCTCTGCTGCATGAGCTCACATTCCAGGCCATGGCCTATGACCTGCTGGACATCGAACAGGACACCTACAGGTAGGCTGGCCCAGGAGCATTGCCTCCTTTCACACCACTGCTGGCAACCTGCCTGTGACCCCCATGTTTCCCACTCCTCCTCCAGGTATGAGACCACTGGACTGAGCGAGGCTCGGGAGAAGGCTGTGCTACTGGACGAGGACGACGACCTATGGGTAGAGCTTCGGCACATGCACATTGCGGATGTGTCCAAGTGCGTGCACATGGTTGTTGCTGCTTGTTGCCTCCCCTGGATCCAACTGCCCCCTCACCCACTGTGGGCCAGAACATGGCAGTGGGCCACCTGGCTACACCCAGTCTTGGAGTCCCATAAGTGCCCCTCTATAGGTCAGACCCCAGCATCAGGATTCTTGACCATTCTTACTCCATCCCAGTGCACCCTCATCACCTGGTACAGGAATGTGTGTCCCCTGGTTCCCATCCCCTGGCAATATGACCCCTGCACTGCAGTCTCTGCATTAGCCCCTACCTCACCCTTTCTGCTCATGGCTAGGAAGGTCACGGAGCTTCTGAAGACGTTTTGTGAGAGCAAGCGGCTGACCACGGACAAGGTAGAGCTGGCCTGCATCACGATGGCAGCTAGCAGAGGAAAGCCCCTTTCCTATGGTGGCAGGGGCGAGGCCTCAGCCTGACTCCTGACCCTAGAGTAGGTCTTATGGTGGTCAGAGCCTGGCCTCACACCCACTCTTCTATCCCAAGGCCAACATCAAAGACCTGTCCCACATTCTGAAAAAGATGCCGCAGTATCAGAAGGAGCTGAACAAGGTGAGCTTGGGTGGGTAGAATTGGGGACCCTCAGTCCCATGCTCTGTCCTGCACTCTGACTTGACCAGTTTGTTACTTCCATCTCCTACCCTGCACCCTACAGTATTCTACACACCTGCATTTAGCTGATGACTGCATGAAGCGCTTCAAAGGCTCAGTGGAGAAGCTGTGTGGTGTGGAGCAGGTGGGGGCACGGCCTTCTTGCCAGGTGGTCCTGTGGAAAGAGTGGGGCCTTAGGAGGGGGGCGGGACTTGTGGAGGAGGGGCCTTGGAGAGGGGTGGGGCCTGGCTATAGGACGGAGCCTTCCCCTGAGGCAAGACCTGAGTGAGAGGTGGGGCTTATGGGGGGAGTCTGGGACAGGGTGCTGGGCGGGGCCTTGGAGACCTGTGCCTAGGATGAGGTGGAGCCTCTGAGTCTTGCTAACAACCCTGGGATGTCCCTTCCCTGCCACCTTCCAGCCGCCTCCTCCCCCAGCATCCGACTATAGAGTTGACCCTAATGCTCTGCAGGACTTGGCCATGGGCCTGGACGCAGAGGGTGAAAAGATCAAGGATGCCATGAAGCTGATTGTCCCGGTGCTGCTGGATGCAGCGGTGCCACCCTACGATAAGATCCGGGTCCTGCTGCTCTACATCCTTCTACGGAACGGTGGGTGAGGGTGGGGAAGAGAAAGTCTTGGGACACCCTCATTTACAGTGTCTAACAATTTTAGGAACTTTGCAGCCCTGTAACTCTCTGTTCACCAGGCATGCCACACTCCACAGATAACCCCTCTGGACGCTGTGATCCCCGTTAACCCAGTGACCTCTCTGTCAATACAGGGCCCTCGTTAACATGGAGACTCCCAAGTCTGTAATTCCTACAGACCCCTGGAGGACCCTCACCTTTGCCCCTCAGTCCATCTGGTGTGAGAGCCTCCTCTTAACACCAGTTCTAGAAGGTCCCTGAGTCCTGAGGACATCCCAGCTGCAAGACATGCCCATCAAGAGTCCTGGGGTTGCTTCATCCCATACCCAGCCCTCTTAGCCCAGGACCCCACACAGCTACCTTCCAGTCCTGCTGTGCCCCTTCCCCAGGTGTGAGTGAGGAGAATCTGGCCAAACTGATCCAGCATGCCAATGTGCAGGCCTACAGCAGCCTCATCAGGAACTTAGAGCAGCTGGGGGGCACCGTCACCAATGCCGGGGTATGTGGGGAGCAGGACGGGGGCAGAGGCTGGATGGAAGGACAATGTGGGTTTGTGGGGGGCAGCCAGAGGGCATGGGTCAGTGCCTGGTCTCTTCAGGGTGTGTGTGGGAGGGCACATGAATAGCTTGGGATGCACAGCATGGTGTGACTTGTGGACAGAGCACCAGAGCCACCCCAATCTTGGATCATATGACAGGAAGCAGGGGTGAGATCTGGCATTGGTGCAATGCGGGGTGTGTGACAGGGTAAGTGGGAGGAGAGGGGGCAGGGTCCTCAGTGAGACTGGGCTGGAAAGGGGCACAGCTTGTGGAGGAGGAGGTTTTGGAGAGGGACCTGAGTGTGGAGTGGAACCTTGGAGAGATGGGCGAGGCCTTGGAAAGAGACAAGATCTGAGTGAAGATCCCTAGAAGGGTTGACTTGGGGCTCCCAGAGACCTTAGTGCCTCCCCCACCCCACACACCACACACACACACACACACACACACACACACACACACACACACACACACACACACACACACACACACACACACACAGAGCAGCTTCCTGTGCTCAACTCTTGGTTTAGGCTCTCCTGTCTCTTTCTGACCCTACATGTCCCACCTCCCCTGACCCTGCCTCCACCATGGGCCTGTGGTTCCCTGTGTGCCCCCATCCCATCCCCTGTCCCTCGCCTCTTGCTGGCCACCGGTTTTCTGTGTCCATCTGTCTCCCATCTTTCTTTTTTCTTTTTTTTTTCCTGTTTCTTTTTCTTCCCATCCCTGTTCTTTCTGTCTCCCCCTCTGTCCCCACCTTCCCCTCTGCCATTTGGCTCCGTCTCCATCTCTGTCTCTTCCTGTCTCTCCCATTCTCATTTTCTACTTCATTTCTCTCTCTCTTTCTCTTGTTCTCTGCTTCATTTTTCCATCTTTGTCTGCACACCACTCCCCAGCCAGATGAGGCCCCAATCCCAACTATGACCTGCCTCCTTCCCCCCAACCCCCTCCCACCCACCTGGCCCCACCTATAGGGCTTGGGGACCTCAAGCCGGCTAGAGCGGAGAGAACGCATGGAGCCCACCTATCAGCTGTCTCGCTGGTCCCCGGTCATTAAGGACGTGATGGAGGTACCTTGGGGTAGGGGGGCTAGGGCCCTGTTTCTCCCCAATCCAGTCAGCTGCTCAGCCTTCCTCCTGCTCATAGTGCTAAGCCCAGGGCTTAGTGGAAAATCCCTTATTATCAGTATCCCCTGGTGCCTAATTCGTTCTGCCTGGGTGTATGTGGGGGCACCCCAGGCCTGCACCCCAGGAATTAGGGCAGCAGAAGGACCTCTTGCTGGGGTCCCACTGGTGGCTGCCACCGTGTCTCCCTCTACTCTCTCCCCCTGCTCCTCCAGAAGTGTTCCTTCTGGAGCGTTCCTGTTCATCTTGAGACCCCCCCCGCCCAAAGCAGCAACAGCAAATAGTACTGTGCCAGGGACTTGGTTCTGGCCTATTCTCGTAGGGTCCTCGTACCTCTGTTTTGTAGTCCAGTGATCTTGGCCTCCCCAGGACCTTGGAACTCTGATGCCTGGGCTTGTGAGTCCCCAAGGGGCAGGAAGTATAGATGGTGGTGCCTCTCTGCCAGGATCATGACTCCTGAACACTCAGTCTTTGGGCCCCATCGTCTGTGACTCTTCTCTTAAACCCCCCTCCTCTGACCACCCAGGATGCAGTGGAGGACCGGCTGGACCGCAAACTGTGGCCCTTTGTGTCTGACCCTGCCCCCACATCCAGCTCCCAGGCCGCTGTCAGGTGAGGGCCCCAGGGAGACCTTCACTCCCACAGAGGCCCAGATTGAGGGGTAGGTGTCTCCAGCCTGAACTGACCCATGCCCCCTCCGCTCTACAGTGCCCGTTTTGGCCACTGGCACAAGAACAAGGCGGGTGTCGAGGCTCGGGCGGGACCCAGGCTCATTGTGTACATTGTGGGTGGCGTGGCCATGTCAGAGATGAGGGCTGCCTATGAGGTGACCAGGGCCACCGAGGGCAAGTGGGAGGTGCTCATTGGTAAGTAACCAGAACTGGGGCCCCTAGGGGCTAGAGCTAGACAAAGATCCCTGGGGGCTGGAGCTGAACTCTGAGGGGTGGGGCCGGACTCTGGGGTCCTTGGAGTTCTGGGGCTAGATTCTGGGATCCCCGGAAGTCTGGGGCTAGGCTCTGGGGTCTCTGAGGGATTGGAGCTTGAGTTCCCAGGGAAGGGTCACCTGGGGGAGCTGGACATCCATGTCCCTAAGTTTCTAGACTCTGTGAATTCATAGAAAGCCAGGGTCCTGGTTTGCCGAGGGGCAGGAATAGGCCCTCACCAGCCAGGACCCTGGCCAGGAGGTATCTGGGGCTGAGGGAGAGCCCCCCACCTCCCCAGCCTTCCCTTCCTGTCCAGGCTCCTCGCACATCCTCACGCCTACCCGGTTCCTGGATGACCTCAAGACCCTGGACCAGAAACTGGAGGACATTGCCCTTCCCTGACTGTCCTCTGCCTCTGCGCCTCCCTTCCAGGGAAATAAACTCTCCCTTCTCTCTGTCAACCAGTGCCTCACCTCACTGTCCTTACCTGGGAGCTGCTGGGAGCTGTGCTGAGCCAGACCCTATTATCCTGCGCGAACCGTCCACTGCCTGTCTGCTTTCTCGGAGGTTACAAATGTGCGTGCTACTTTAAATATTGGCTCTAAGGTTTATCAGCTATGAGGCCCTGGCTACCTTGTAGGGTCCCCCATCCAAAAACTGGGGACCAGCAGCTGCTTTGCAGGAGAGATAACAGAGAGTGCAAGGAAGCTGAGGGCACTAGACTTTTGGCTCATTCTGTTGGTATTGTTAGTAACAAGCAGAATAGGCTTGTATCCTGTCCTTCCCCATTCCCACTGTCTCGGTGGGGCCTGCAGCCATACCAGGCTGAGGTGGTCCCCAGCTCCAGGGCTCAGAGCCTGCATTCAAGTTGAGGATGGGCACACAGCAGACTCTTCTTGCTTATTCTCCCCAGCCCCAGGGAGTTCACCAGGGCTCATGACTGCAGGACTTATCAGAGCCTTTAATGGATGTGTTTGTTTGCCAGGGCTGAGTGGCTTAACAGAAACTTATTGTCCCACAGTTCTGGAGGCTGCAAGTCTGACATCAAGGTGTCAGCAGGTTGGTCCCTCCTGAGGCTTCTCTCCTTGGTTTGTAGATAGCTGTCTTTTCCCTGTGTCCTCTATGGTCTTCCCTCTACAGGTACCTGTGTCCTAATTTCCTCATATAAAGACACCAGTCAGATTAGATTAGGGCCCACCCTATGACCTCATTTTTACTTAATTATATCTCCAAATATAGTCATTCTGAGACACTGGGGGTCAGGACTCAAGCAGATGAATTTGGTGAAGACACAGTGTAGCCATAGCGTTTGGCTGAAATGAGGTATGACTCTCCTAGTATGAATAGGACAGATGAGGACCCTTCTCTCTGTTCAGCCAGGCAGGTTAATAATCCAGGCAAGTTGGGGGAGGGTGTGGGAGCCAGAGGACATCCCAGTCCATGCAGTCTGGGAGTGGTTAGGGAAGGCTTCCTGGAGGAGGCAAAGTCTGAATGGAGACTACAAAGGAAAAAGAGTGGGAGAAGGGAGGGGAGGCACAGTGAGTGGAATGGCTGCCATTGGGGAGCCAGAGAGAAGGATGCTGACCAGGAACAACATCTGAGAACTGGGCTTGGGGTGCAGGTCAGTGATAAAGCCTTTGGCTGGTGTGCCTGAGGCCTTGGGTTCCATCTGAGAACCACGTGGGACCTCAAGGGATGGGGACAGAGCAGCCACAGGTGAGGGTAAAAGGTTCCCTGGTGGGCACAGCGCCCCCTGGTGGAACCCTGCTGATTTCCCTTCTTTCACCTACGCGGTTGTGAAGGGTCCGAGCCCAGGACCAGGAGGGTCCCGAGTGGAGACAGGGCCCCGGAGAACCGTCTGAGTTTGAGGTCACCGACCCTTTTGAGAAGTCATGGAGATGTGAGGATACTTCCCAGAGAAACCGCACACACAGTTGTGCAGGTGGGGTCAGAGAGAAGCACAAACCCCCAGATTCAGCAGTTTCCCTAGTTGGATTTATCCGACCCCCGCTCAGGGAAGAAAGGTGCGTGCGGGGGAGAAAGTGGGTCGTGGAGACCCCTGAGACCGCCCGTCCTGGATTCACGGCTCAGGAAGGAGGCGGGGAGGGCAGTACTGGGGGCTTCATTCATGCTGGGCACGCGCTCTACCGTTTGAGCCACTCCCCCAGCCCTTTTTGCTCTGGTTATTTTGGAGACAGGCCCTTGCTTTTTGCCCCGGCTGACCTGGACCACGATCCTCCTCTATTTTACACTTCCCGCCCTTGCTGGGATGACAGGCACGTCCCGCTGCACCCAGCTATTAGTTTAGATGGGGGTCTCAAGAACTATTTGCCTGGGTTGGCCTCTCCATCTCAGCCTCCCAAGAAGCGAGGATTACAGGCGGGAGCCACTGCACCCGGCTGGGGAGATGAGTTTAAATTTTAAATTCGCCGCTTTGGGAAGCTGCGGTTTTCTGCGGGGACCTGCTTGTGTAGCTCAGGGATATGATCGCCAGGGGGCGGTGCGGCTCAACTTTCCGGGTTCTTTGATCTTTCACGAGTGGCATTTGAGCCTGAGCGACTGAGCGACCCTAATTAGAGAGGACTGGGAAGTGGGTCAAAGGTTACTCAGGCGGAGACAAAACCCTGTTGCTAAAAACCGTCTCTGCTCTTTATTTATCCCTAAATGAAGGAATGTTTCCTCACTAAAGACAAATATTGATTCTACAAATATTTACGGGCCTCTCCAGGCGGGGCAGCTGGTGTTACCAAGCACTAACGTGGCACTTTGTCAAGCCAGCCACACGCACACGACAAGATCGTAAAATCCTCCTGTGAAAATAAAGTCTCTTCTCTCTCTGCATCCTGTGGGGTTGTGCTCTGAAACTATTTCCCACCTCATTGAGGGACTCACTGATGCCCTGCCCCACTGTTCCTACCCCAGGGCCTTTGCACCTGCCTCTCCTCACCTGCAATGTGCCCTTCCTCCTTTCCACATAAGCTCAAATGTCACTGCCTCAAAGAGAGAGGCCTCTGATTTCCCTTTCTTCTTGGTTCTTTTCTTGCCCTTGGGAATATCCCACATTCTGGCTTTGGTTGGTTGCTTCTGGTAACTTCATATAATTTTGTTCCCCAACATCTACCTCCCCCATCCCTGCCCTCTTGCTTACACCCTTGTAAATTTCAGCCTGTGTTACATTCAGATTAAGCTGTAGCCAGAATAAGATGACAGGGCTGGATCTTTCCTATGGCCTCACATCAGGAGTCTGTAATGTCACCTGGCTGGGCTCAGGGGGTGTCCCTGGTTCCCAGTAACTCACCCCATAAAGATGTTTGCTGCCATGGATTCTCCATCCATTATTGCCTGAGGATTGTTTCCCACTGTACCCTTCCTCCTGCTGGAACTAGCTGTGAGACACAGAACTTTCTCTCTTTCCCTGGGGAACTCTTTGGTTTATACAGAAAGTAACAGCCTAGCTATAGTTTCTTCTGTGTTATTTGTGGGACTCCCTGAGGCCACTGGATACAGCTCAGCAGGGAGGCCTGGAATGAGGACATGTCTGAGGATCATTTGTGGCTACACTGTAACTGCACAGGGCTCACCTAGGGACTGCTGGCTGCCATAATAAAAATAATAATGATTACAGTTGCTAGGTATGAACGCTAGTGAGCATCTTTATATGCTTTACAGAGGGAGAGATAGTATTACAGGAGGCTCTGAAATACCAATTCATTGGGATAGCAGGAGGGAAAGGCTTGTGTTCTGAATTTGATCAATGTTTAAAAGTGTAGCGGGGTGGGATGGTGCACACCAGTAATTCCAGCACTGGAGAGGCTGAGACAGGAGGATTGTGAATTTCAGGCCAACCTGGGTTACATAGGTGAGACCCTGTCTTAAAAGAAAAATAGATCTGAACTGATGGTGCACACCTGTAATTGCAGTTACTCAGGAGGTAGAGATTGGGAGAATCTCAGTTTGAGGCCAGTAAAGGTAAAAAATTATCAAGACCCCATCTCAGTCTATAAGCTGGGTGTGGTGGTGTGTGTCTGTCATTCCAGCTGCATGGAAGGCCTTAGGTAGGAAGGTCATGGTCCCAGATTGACCTGGGGAAAAATGTGAGACTCTACCCACATGAGGCTCTGAGTTCAAAGCCCAGTACTGCCAAAAAAAAAAAAAAAAAAGTGACAGGGGCTTGGGGTGTAGCCCAGGCGGTAGAACACTTTCCTCCCATGCATGAGCCCCTGAGTTCCATCCCCAGCACCTGAACTTGCTTAACTTTTTTTTTTTTTTTTTTTGGCACTAGTGGGGCTTGAACTCAGGGCCTCCCAGTTGCAAGGCAGGGACTCTACCACTTGAGCCACACCTCCAGCCCCAACCTTTCTCAGCCTTTAAAGATGTCAGGGCAATGTGAGTCAATGCCCTGTATAGCTATCCTTATCTCAACCAGCAAAAACCCTTGTTCCTTCCTATTATTGCTTATACTCTCTCTACAACAAAATTAGAAATAAGGGCAAAATAGTTTCTGCTGGGTATTGAGGGGGTGGGGGGAGAGGGAGGGGACGGAGTGGGTGGGAAGGGAGGGGGTGGGGGCAGGGGGGAGAAATGACCCAAGCCTTGTATGCACATATGAATAATAAAAGAAAAAAAAATTAAAGATAGCAAGGTCCAGAGCCACCTGGAGCTGCACACTTGATCAGGAGAGGTGGTGGTAGGCTGGAGAGCCCAGGACTCCTAGCAGAAAAAAGGAATAGAGACCCCCAAAGGGGGGTTGGTGGCCCCAGGCAGGAAAAGGAAGTGACATCACTCGCTTAGCCAAGGAGAGCTGGAAGTGAGGAGAATGAGGAAAGGAAGTCAGAGTCCCCAAGAGGGACCCCAGCAGCGAGGAAGCAAGTACAGCTTCCTTTTTTATTTTATTTTTTGTAAAGTTGCTCAAAAAACACAAGTTAACCAAAAGCTGCTGCCAGTAACATTGTGAAATACTGTCTGGGTGGAGGAAATTGTCCCATAAGGGAAAGGTTCTGCTCTGCTAGGTGCTTACCCCAAGGCTGGGGGTGAGCAGGACAGAGAGATCTTAGCAGTGGCCTCTCCACCTTGGGGGTCCACAGTTCTTTTCTGAGCCCCTCCAGAGTCTATATGGTTGGGGGATGTTCTAGAAAAAAGATGAAAGGCTACATTTTCTTTTGGGGCCAGTACTGGGGTTTGAACTCAGGGCCTTGAGTTGCTAGGCAGGCATTCTACCACTTGAGCCACATGCCCAGCTCTTTTTGCCTTAGTTGGTTTTTCAGATAGGGTCTTACACTTTTGTCCAGGCAGACTCAGACTGTGACCTTCCTACCGCTGCCTCTGGAGCAGCTGGGGTTAGAGGCTCATGTCACCACACCTGTCTTGTTGGTTGACATGGGATCTTGCTGACTCTTTCCCTGGGCTAGCCTTGAACTTTGACCCTCCTATTTCTGCCTCCCAAATAGTTAGAATTACAGTCCTAAAGCAATGTTCTTTATTAGCACATATTAATTGTACAAAGTAAGGGATTTATTACATTTTCATACATGCAAATAATGTACTTTGATCGAAATCACCCCTCCCCCTTGTCCTTCCCCTTCCACCTCCCTAGTAGTCCCTCTTTTATTTTATGATCCTGTCACCACACCCCAGCTTCCACAAATGAGAGAAAACAATATTCATCTTCCCGAGTGTGATTTATTTCACTTCTCGTGATAATCTCCAGCTCCATCCATTTTCCTGTGAATGACATAATTTCATTCTTCATTATGGCTGAATAATACTCCATTGTGTATAATACCACATTTTCTTTATGCATTCATCCATTGATGGGCACCTAGGCTGATTCCATAATTTGGCTATTGTGAATAGTACCAGAATAAGCATGGCTGTGCAGGCATCTGTATATTAAGCTGACCTTGGTTCTTTTGGATATGTCCTCAGAATTAGTATGTCTGGATGGTAGTTCTATTTTCATTTTTTTGAGGAACCTCCATACTGCTTATCATAGTGGCCAGGCTAGTTTCCTCCCTTTCTCCCTTGCTCCCTCATATCCCCATCAGGCCTCTCCTGTATAATTGATGTAGATTCATGTAAAATACTAGGTCTACACCTGTAATCTCAGCTACTCGGGACGCAGAGATTGGGAGGATCACAGTTTGAGTTCAGCCTAGACAAAAAAGTTCATGAGACCCCATCTCAACAAATGGCTGGGTATGGTGGCACGCACCTGTCATCTCAAGTAGGCATGGATTATGGTTCAGGCTGGCCCAGGCATAAAATGAGACCTTACTTAAAAAAATTGCTAAAGCAAAAAGGATTGGAGCGTGGCTCAAGTGGTAGAGATCACCTTAGTGTAGCAAGTGCAAGACCCTGAGTACAACTCCCAGTACTGCAAAAACAAACAAAAAACAAAGTCTGAGCCTGGCACAAGGGGCTCACGTCTGTAATCCTAGCTACTTGGGAGGCTGAGATCTGGAGGATTGCTATCTGAGGCCAGTATGGGCAAATAGCTCTTGAGATCCTATCTCCAAAATAACCAGAGCAAAGTGGACCAGAGGTATGGCTCAAGAGGTAGAGCTCCTGCTTTGCAAGTGCAAAGTCCTAAATTCAAACCCCAGAACCACAAAAACAAACAACAACAACAACAAAAACAAGGACTTGTCCGGGGAAGGGGGCTCCAGCATCCCTTATACGCGAACACTCAGCAAACTTGAACCTCACAAAGATGTTGCTTGGGCAATGATGCATGGGCATCTTGGGAGAGAGGGCAAGGCAGAAAGGGGCTGGAAGGAGACTGTTAATTCTGGCTGACTGGAGGGGGTCTCCACCATGCTATGGTGGGAGAAAGTGTGCCATCAGACAATTGGGTGTGAAATCTAGCTGACCCAGTGACCTTTTCAATGTGGCTTCACCTCATCTGGAAAACGTTCAATTTCTACCTCTGCACATGGCTATTTTGAGAATCCAGGGGGGTGCTACATGTGCAGTCTTGGGGTGCATGGTGGAGGCTGGGATATTAGAAGAGTGGTGGCTCAACTTAATTCCAGGAAACTGTGGCCAGATGGCCGTTACCCCCACCCCCTTCCCTTCCTCCATACTTCCTCATTTTGGACAATGGGGGAATGAGTTGCTCCATAACCCATCCTATTTCTTGGTTAATCCAGGGGAGTTTTATTTTGTAAACTTGTGTATTTTTTTAGTTCCTTTTAAAATCAGGAGATGGGTGTGGTTGCGCACGCCTGTATTGCCAGTACTCAGGAGGCTGAGGCAGGAGGTTCAGGAGTTTGAGGTCAGTCTGGGCTCCTTGGTGAGACAATGTCTCAAAAACAAAACAAAATAAACAATCAGGATATATTGTTTCTGTCATTTCTTTAAGGGGAAAAGAAAAGGGGGAGAAATAGGCCAAAAGATACAAAGTAGCAGATATACAGGAGGACCCAGTCTAGAGCTCTAACACACAATGGTGAGGACTATAGAAGATAATACTGCTTTGTAATTGGGATTTTTGCTAAAGATGATTTTGGTGCTCTACACACATGCTCAAAATGGGTAACTGTGTGACATGACAGATGTTAGCTTTCTTGATTTGAACTCAGGGCTTCATGCTTGCTAGGCAGGCTCTCTACTGCTTGAGCCACTCCACCAGCCCATGTATCTGGTTTCTGAAACATCCTGGTGTATACTTTAAATACACATAGTAAAACTTATAAAAGCAAAAGGAAACCTATAGGAATAATCTCAAAAGATCATTGCTTCATTCTTAAAAAAAAATTTTTTTTTTCTCATTGCTTCTCTCTCTCTCTCCCTTCTCTTTCCTTTTCTTTCATAGTGCTGAGGATCAAACCCAGGGCCTTGAACATGCTAGGCAAGTGCTCTACCACTGAGCCATACACCCAGGGTGTTTTCTATTTTTTTACGTTTTAAAAGAAAAGCTGGCATAGCAGTTGTGGCCGTTTAAGAAATGTCCTCCCCTCTACACACCTTATTGTGAATGAAATACGACTGTCCTGTGCAGACTCCAACCTGGATTCAAATCCTGGCTTCTCTGTGCACTGGCTCTGTGACCCAGGACAAGTTAATTTGCTTCTCTGATCCTCATTCTCTTGAGGTGGGGACAACAATCATACCTAAGTGACTGGGTGGTTGCAGTGATTAAATGTGGTCGTGTGCATAAACCACTCATCATGGGGTAAAGCATTCCACAAAGAGTAGATAGGGTCACCGGGTGCAGGTGGTGCATCCGGATAATCCTGGCTACTCAGGAGGCAGAGATCAGGAAGATCATGGTTCAGAGCCAGCCCAGGCAAATGGTTCATGAGACCCTACCTCAAAAACACCCTTCACAGAAAAGGGCTGGTGAGTGGCTCAAAGTGAAGGCCTTGAGTTCAAACCCCAAAAATGGAAAAAGAAAGAAAAAAAAAAGAG